GTCCTGCCTTTTTCTTTTTAGTTTATCTTGACTTTTTTTTACATAAATTGTCATCCTGCCTTTTTTTTTGCAAATAATCTCATCCTGCCTTTTTTTTTACTCAAAACTCCTGTCCTGCCTATTTTTTAAAAATTTCTACCATCGGTTTCCGGGTTCTCGTAGCAACACGTTTCTTTCCCTTCCAGCTATTCGTGACTATGAATTAATCTAAAACATGCATTTATCCTGAAGCAACAACTATTAAACAACTCAAGATACCAATGAGAATTGTCTAATTCCTAACTGATTCCATCGTTGTCGCGTCTACCATTGGAGGTAGCGAAATTACATGATTTGACAGGAGAGCGAAATAAACAAGGGGAGCAATTTTATCAAACCGCATCCCGGACTGCATTGGACTTACGAAATGGTTGGATCCTAATATGAAGAGGCCGGTTCATGTGGATTGAATCTTATCAGAAATGTTTATCGTATCTACATAAATCTTGGTATATTGTTAGATCCTAATATACAGATGTGCATTTGGATAGGATGTTTCAGTCTATTGAATTTTCCAAGAGACATGCCTCTTTGAGCTTCTTAAATTTTGGACCTGTCCAGCATCTACCTTTTCATCATGGTTTATCATATGTACATGGAATTTGATACATTGTTAGATCCTAATATGCACATGGATAGGATATTCTAGTCAATTGGGTTTTCTTGAGTAATGACCCATTCAGTGAAATCTGACTTCTACCTTGTTATCGTAACTCTACAAACACGGTTCATTGTATTAGAGACATATAATACATTTATGTCTCGGATTGTACCCATATTTTATAAGGTATATTGTTAGATCCTAATATGCAAATATGTATACAGGGTCTATACAGGTAGATTGGAACAACTTAAGATAAAACACTAGAAAAAAGTTCAAAATATTATCAACTCCTTTGATTCCCTGTATTTTAGTTAATATGGGATGCGAGACGTATTTGTCCAGCTTAGTGGACAGTTATAGCTAATTTCAAACATGTTGAGAAAATGGACATATGTACAGGCTTTCTTGTACTTTCACCTTAAAAATGCTGGAAATTGCCTTCCTTTTTAAGAAATTAAGGCAAAATTGTGTATTTGTCCTCTGCAATGCCATGCCGAGAACATAGAAATACAAGGCATCATTCAATGTGTCAGTCCACCCATTCTTGTACATGTAAGCATTATCACGTATACAAATCTTTCTAGATTTTCATAGCAAAGGTTTACATCAACAATGACTTGGACAAATTTTGAAAATCAGTGCCAAACCATTTTTGTCTCGCCTGCAAAAAAAGTTGCATAGCTTTATATTTCAGATGGTACATAAGACCTCAATGCTTCATACCTTATATACAGATGCTTATGTTATGAAGTTTCCGTCTGTATTTGTCCATTGGCTTCGACTTAATTTTATATGGTTCAGTGACTGCTTAAAAAAAACGTTGAGCTATTTTTTCATGTGAATTTCTTGCTTATTATGAGTAATAGGATAACTATATTCGGTGTGTTGGTTCCTTGCAAGGTCTACATGTCCGTCAGACAGAGTTCACTGACCTTGGCCTCATTTCATGGATCAGTGATCAAAGTTTAAAGTTACGTGATTAGGTCCATTTCTCAGATATGGAATGACTGTAAGGTGTACATGTCAGACTGGCAGGTTTCACCTGACCTTGACCTCATTTTCATTGGTCAATTTTAAATTTTTGTTTTTTGGCCCGTTTTTCCGATACTGATAAGTGATAGGTCAGCTCTATTCTATTTTGTGTATGGGATGATTGCAAGGTGTACATGTCTGTCTGGCAGGTATCATCTGTCCTTGACCTCATTTTTATGGTTCATTGGTCAATGTTAAGTTTTCATGCTACTTGGATACGTTAGGCAAAGGGTCAAACTATGTTTGGTGTATGAACATGTCTGCCTTGTAGGGTTCATCTCACCTTGACCTCATTTTTTTTTATGGTTCATTAGTCAATGATCAATTTTCGTAATTGAGTCGGTTTATCAGATACTATAAGCAAAAGGCTAACTATATTTGGTATATGGTATGAATGTAAAGTGTAAATTGTACATGTTTGTCTGGCAGAGTTCATTTTTATATAATACCTCTCGTTTACATGGATCATCGATAATGTTTATTTGATACTTGTAGTAAAACCTTCATATTGTACACCTAACAATCATTATTAGGTGAGTGACACATATGCATGCTCTTTATAGCCTCTAGCTTTATTTTTATTCAAGACATTGTTCTTTTTCACTCAGAGAATTTGATTTTGATGAAACAACTTCGTAAATCTGAAAATTTTATTTGAAAACTTTCATGAATCAGGGAGCTTCAAAGCTATTTTTAAGAGCTTATATTGACCTGAAGTTGTCAATAATTTGTTTATGTCTTTGGGTTTCTGTCTTATTGACATATAATACAAATTTCTCTGTATTCATAGTTTACGTAGTTGACCCTAAATGTCTGTTTTGTTCAATTTTGGTGTTTGGTTTTCTGTCAGATTGTCATATACCCATAATGTCAATCTATTCATATATTAATCCAACTTGAAACAGAGCAGTTAACTATTTCGCTTTATACCTTCAGCTTATACAAACCTTTCTTGTCTTTGATTTGAACTCGATAAAATCATGACCTGGTGTCCTTGAGGGGAGCACATAATCACATGACCAATTGGGAGGTAGAATGAAGCAGAATAATCTCTGAGATCAGAGGTCAAGGATCCATTTTAGCAATTTTTTCCATCCAAACTGAATGGCTTAATCTATCAGTAATGAACCTAGAAAGTCATATTTACAACACAAGTCAAGTGTGGAAACCTATTGATGAAATCACAACTATACAACTAATTATAGAAAATTAGTGAGCACACTCACATACACCACGCCCCATTTTATCACAGGACAAACAATGGACATGAAATTCTGTTGTGTGGTTACAGAGAAGTTGCGCTGATAAACTGTAACAGTACATTTTTAGGTCAAAATTCTAGGTTCAAAGGGGCATTACTCCTAGAAAAAAACATTGATTCATAATTTTCTGTCAATATGCACATCTACATTGTGTGTCCATATTATCAACACAGTTTCATGAAATTCTGTTGTGTGGTTTCAGAGAAGTTGTAATGACAAACTGTTGAAGTAGTATATTTAGGCCAAAATTCTATGTTCAAAGGGGCATAACTTCTAGATTTAAATTAAATTATAATTTCCTGTCAATATGCACATCTAAATAATATGTCCTCAGTATCTACAAAGCTTCGTGAAATTCTGTTGTGTGGTTTCAAAGGAGTTGCAATGACAACCTGTTGAAGTAGCATATTTAGGCCAAAATGCTATGTTCAAAGGGGCATAACTTCTAAATAAATTAAAATACAAAGCTTCATGAAATTCTGTAGTGTAGTTTCAGAGAAGTTGCAATGACAAACTGTTGAAGTGGTATAGTATATTTAGGCAAAAATTCTATGTTCAAAGGGGCATAACTTTAGATAAAGATAAATTAAATTATAATTTCCTGTCAATATGCACATATACATAGTATGTACTTATTATCTACAAAGTTTCATGAAATTCTGCTGTATGGTTTCAAAGAAGTTGCGATGAAAAACTGTTGCAGTAGTATATTAGGCCAAAATGTTAATTTCAAAGGGCCATTTCTCCTAGAATTTGAGTGGTTTCAGAAGTTGCGATGACAAGAACAGGACTGACAGGTCATAAAGATTATACCCTATGCAAATTTGTTGCATGGGGTATAATAACTTCATCAGATTTTGTACGCTTTACTATTATCAATAATGGACGACCCTTGTTGATTTTCAGTCTTAATGGTTAAAAGTCAACCTGAGGTAAAAAGCACAAATTCTTGTCACCAAGATAATAGAATAAACACAAGTACCATGAAAATAGAAGCTTAGTATACCAACAACATAAACTGTTATCACAGAGATATGTCTCGCCTTTTTGTAATTTTGATAATGCAAATGTTGAAATTAAAATAGTAATACTTTAACATATAAGTTATGCAAATATTCAAAGTCGATGAACTATGACTGAAGGTACATGGCTAAACAATCTCCATGGAAATGAGATGTGCCAATGCTAATACAACTGCATACCAAATACCATTGACTTATTAAGTTGTCCCCTTTAAACAAACCTAAACACAAACATTAACTTGTAAACTATGTAAAAATTTCAAAGTCAATGAACCATGATGAGGGGGTGGGGCTATATAATCTCCATGGAAATGATACTTTCAAATGCAAATAAATTTGCATACCAAATATCATTGACTTAACATTAGCAGTTCTTCTTAAACTGATCTAATCACAAACTAATACATGTAAACTAAGCAAAAGTTTCAAAGTCGATAGACCATGACTGAGGGGGAGGGACCAAATATTCTCCATGGAAATGAGATGTGCCAATGCTTATACAACTGAATACCAATTTACATTGGCCTACTAATTATAGTTCCCCTTGAACTGACATAATCACAAACTAATACATGTAAACTAAGTAAAATTTTCAAAGTCAATAGACCATGACTAAGGGGGCGGAGCCAAATAATCTCCAAGGAAATGAGATATGCCAGTGGTGATATAACTGCATACCAAATAACATTGACCTACCACTAGTGGTTCCCAATAAACTGACCTAATCACAAACTAATACATTTACACTAAGCAAAAGTTTCAAAGTCAATAGACCATGACTGAGGGGACAGGGCCAAATAATCTCCATGAAAATGAGATGTGCCAATTCTAATACAACTGCATATCAAATATCATTGACCTACCACTAGTGGCTCACCATGAACTAGACCTAATCACAAACTAATACATTGTTGACGCCGGCACCGCTGCCGCCGGAAACAGCATACCTATGTCTCGCTTTTTGACTCCATCAAGGCGAGACAAAAATAGAACATATTACTCATGCAAAGATTTGCAGATGTATATACATAAAAAAACAAGTCAGTTTTCATTAAATGTATTCTCAACATATTGAGTAATATCACAGATTTCATAACAAACACATTTCATGAAACAAGAGACAAATAATTTCACAAAGTCACATTTTGAAATGTAATAATACATGACATGATTAATCAAAAGATAATCCTGTCCAAAGGAGTAAAGAAAATGCTTCAGTGAAACCTGTAAATATCAAAAACAGAAACACATGGTTAAATTGAAATTTCAACTTTGAACCCATACTAAGTATACTTAAGTACTTTTTTTTATGGGTCCATCATTTTTAAAAGATGGCAGTGCTCCCATTAAAGCTTTAATGACAAAATTAAAGTTAAAAAAAGGTCTGTAAGTTTCCCACTTGGTTGAAAGGGTTAAACCTGTCCTACAAAACTGTCTTCTATAAACTAATCTAATTTTCATATGGTTTGTATTTTACAGGAGGGTACAAATACATCTACACATATGTCTAAACAATTAAGTAATACACAAAATAAAGCAAAATTTCGAGAAACAAATTCATTTAATGTTTTGATTAGGACAAATAAGCGTTATATCTATTCTCTGCTAGTTAAAATAGAAGCTCTTTTATTATTTACACGTTTGACGCCGACTTTGGTTTCACACACTGCACACAATGACTAGCATTGTACATTGATAAATGCATAGATAAGTTTGTAACTAGAGAATAGGTTCACAAACGTAACTTGAAAAATTGTTAGATTATCTTAAAATTCCCTTAAAATAGTTATTGGAAGACCAAAATGATGACATTCAGTAAAAAAATTTGAAAAAAAAATATTTGATTGAGATTTATACAGGTAGCAACGAGAAGATAACTCATGGTAAGTAGATGTTATCTACATGAGAAAATTTAAAATGCTTTAAACAAGAAATTAATTTATCTAATAAACCTATATACAAATTATTTTGTGCACACACTTTGAAACATATACTGGGGCTTACAGTCATAAAACTTTACTCAGTACTCAGAGTACAAAATTTGTAAACAAAACACCAAATCCAATATTTTCATTGGTTGATTTCTGAGTCTGAGTACGATAATAGTACTCAAAAGATGTATTGCTATGAGCCTTGGTTATTAAGAAAAACTCTTATCCTGTTTAATTAGATGTTTTACCTCTTGAGACTTTGGGCATTAGCTTTAGCTTTTTGTTTGGACCACAAACATATGAAGAGTTAAATGTTTTTAAAAACGGATTTCAGTCGTGGGTCAGCAGTATAAAACGAGTCTAAACTGTATTTAAAACTTCAGTCCTTTTCTATCACTTGTATTACATTAAAAATGTTTAAAACTCAAGTAAGTAACGAAAACGAAAGGCAATATGTTAAAAATATTATTCAATGCCATTTGCCCTAAAATCAAATCAAATGATCTGTTCTTTCTAAGGCCACTTTGTATGTTTCAAAATCACATTTGATTAAGCATATTTTGAGAGAAATGGTGCATTTTACAGTATTTTGATTTTTAATAGTATTTGTTCATACATGTAATATGTCCTTATAAATAATATACTTTTAAAATGAAATTGCTCAAAATGTACAGTACGTAAAAAAGGCCATTCAATTCCACTGGTATATTTCATATGATTTTTTTTTTTCTAATATTTTGAACTCATTTCAATTGTAACCATCCACTATTTCAGAGTTAAATGATACAAATTCAATTAAAAGTGATTTAGAAATGAGTACAAAGTACTTTTTTGTTGTTGAAAATTTACAAATTTGTACCACGGATAGGAAGATAGCAAAAAAAAAAAAGAAGACTTTTTTCTACATGCATTAGTATAAAACATTAAATCAATAATATAAATGACACATAAAATTATAAAACAAAATGAACAAGTTGTTGTTAATTCAAAACATTTTCAACACATAATATGTAAAAAATTAATAACTTATTTCATTATTCTTTTTCGTTTTGTTAGTTTGAATTTTCATTATTCTTTTTCATTTTGTTAGTTTGAGTTTTTCAAGTCCATCTTACACATTCTTTTTATAAGTTCACAGTTCTTAAACTGCAGGGTATCAAAATCTTTCACAGGTGTTATATAAAACTATTGCCTGCCAATCTTTCCCTTTTTTATTGTACTTGTACAAAAAATAACAATCATGCTTTTTGCAATTTAAAGACCCCTCTCCCCTCCCCCCAAAAACAAAAAGTTGTTGAATTTATTAATAATCAAGATCTATACCCAAGGTACTTTTTTTTACTCTTTTCAAACTCAAAATCATCTAATTAAACACACTGCCAGGACCAAATTAATAAAGCAATTATTAGTTATCTATATAAAATTAAGATTGATTGATTGATTTTTGGTGTTTTAACGCCACTTTTAAGCACCGCTTTTGGGCTATTTCGTGGCGTATAAAATTAAGAAAAATTGGACCAGAAAAAGCATGGAAATATTCACAATTTCACAGTAACTTTATCTTCTAGTTCTGCAGAACTATTAAAGATGAAAATAAGTATGAAGGAATGCTAAAAAAAAAAAGATTGTATACATAATACAGTGTTTTGGTAACAAATATGTGAAAATGTAAAATAAAAACAGTGTACTATGATTTTAAAATTTATTTTGAACATAATATAAATCATAAATAGACTTATTCAATTCGTGGAAAAAAAGGTAATTAACAGAGAAAAAGAGACATGAAACTAAGCAATGGCATAAAAAAAAATAATCAAAAAAATCAAAACAATTTCTCGTCATAATTATTTTACAAACATCAGTAAAACTTGTGCCCCATCTATGTACAAAGCAAACAGTCATTTTAAGAATTAACGAAACGAAGAGTCAAACATTACAAGCCGCTTATGTCATAAATTGACAATCAATAAATGCAAATTAAGACTTAAGCTCCTGTTCACATCTATAATTCTCACTTTTACACAAAAAAATGCACTTTTATTGCCATAGTGATTGAGTTCAAGCTACAAAGGACAAGGTCATTGATTAAGAGACAGACATTGTTTGTTGATCTATTCCATTCTGAGTCTGTTCCATGGTAAAGGCCAATTTTTCCTCTTGAATTGAGTCCATGTTACTAATAAACATATCCTCAGGAATAACTTGTGTATAACTATCATATGAAACACATTTTTTGAGACCTTGAACCTTTTTGGGGGGTCTGTTAAAGGGTGGAACTTCTGTAAACATTCTCTTTTTCTGTATGTGAAGTTCTTCATCGACTAGACTGTGGTTGTACTGTGACTGAGACCATTCCTCAAAATCTACGTTACACTGGTTGAAGACACCCTGCATCCTCCTTCTGTAAATATAGATAAATGGTTCATTGAATTCAACATTGTCTGATTGGCTCAGATCTCTAATTACATTATATATTGACTTCTCTGCTTGGTTCAAATCCCTAGTTACATTATATTTTGACTTTTCTGCTTGGTTTAAATCCCTAGTTACATTATATATTGACTTTTCTGATTGGTTCAAATCCCTTGTAATATTACTGTTTATTGACTTTTTTTATAGGCCCATCAACTGCATCCTTTGTAACATTAACTATAAAGACTTGTGCAACATCAAACATAGACAGATGTGCTATATTGTAAATTAAATAATTTCCTTTTACTCTATGTATACAAGGTTTACTAATCTAAGAAAATATTTTAAACCTCAGCCTTCGGCCTCTGTAAATATCTGTAAATAAGCAAATCCTTACATCCACCTCAGTCATTATTTTTACCACAGTAATAATACATCCTAATCATGACTCATCTTTTGAAAAAGTCAGTATAATAGTTTTAGTCTAGTATAAAACCTAAATGTGAGACTTTGGAATTTGTGTAATAAATTATATCCTGTTCAGAAGCTTAGCTAGGCAGAATCTGTTTTCAAAAATTCTTTTATGCTGCTTTAGCCTTTGGGAGTTTCATTCACCCCACTTTCATGTATAAATGTGAAAAAATCTATACCTGAAAATAATTCTAGATTTATATAAAACCCTTCTTACAAAACAAATTCACATCCCCCATTATGCATATATATGAAATATAAAATTCAGTGTCGTCTGCTCCTATGAATCCCAAGTAATTTCCAGTGTATTTTTAAATTGTATTTTGCTAGAATTTGAACATGTTATTCAAAATATCAATATTCTTTGAACAACTTCATAGCTTGTTGTGTTTGCTTTCTTGTATTCTTAGCGTCTGTGTTTTAACATAAAAATTCTTGTGATAAACTTGCAAATTTTCTTTTCATCTGCTGCGGTGCTTCCTCCATGATTGTTATGTGTGTGACGTCATTAATCTAAATTTAGCAAGATTTTTCATATTGACCGTCAATATACATATAAATAGAAACATAGTGTCAATATACTTAAAAAAATAGAAACAAGGCTTCGGATACATAAAATAACCTTTCAAACACGTGATCGTAATATCCAATGAAAACAGGAGAATGCTACACCATATGTAATATTGCTTTATATCATCATGAAGATATTGTTTCCACCACCTTTCACATGAGGGTGTGAGTGCACTTAAGGTCAAGGTCCAGTAAATGGGCTATGACACTAATTTTGCATACAACTTTCGTTGAACTTTAACTGAAAATTGAAAAAATGATACATTTATCTCTTATTTTCTGAAATATTACTGAATGAATTCTTTAAAAGTAGGTGAATATTTGTATAGAAAGTTCATAGCCCATTTACTGTACCTTGACCTTAAGGTTATATATGTAAGTGATAATATAAGTCTGAGTTCAGGAGCATGGTTATAATAGTGGTTTCAACTAAATCAAGAAAATTAAATGAGACTTTCAAATTAGTTGAGACTTATTTTGATAATTTTCTATATTCATTTTGCTGCTTTTTACACAAGTTTCAAAACTGTAGAAGTTATTTGGTCTAAAAGTAGTTTTGTAGATAAACATAAAATGGATTAGATTCCTATCTGTTAAGTGTTTTCTGATCATTTGCATTGCATACTGAAAATGTTTATGCTGTATTCTGCTTTTTAGGGGACATAACTCCCTTTGACAAAGTTAACTATTCTGCAACCTCCAGCCCAGTCTTTGCAGCGCATAGCTTGGGTAAGGGTTTTCACTGTTTTTTCCTATTTAGGGTACATGACTCCCTTTTACAAAGTTCCCTAGTCTGCAACCCCATCAGAGTCTTTGCAGTCCATAGCTAGGGCAAGGTTTTTTACTGTATTTTGCTATCATGGGGACATAACTCCCTTTTACAAAGTTTACTAGTCTGCAACCCCATCAAAGTCTTTGCAGCACCTAAAATTTCGCTTTTGACCGAATCTTTTCAAGGCTATTCAGTCCTGAAGAGATTCATGTGAACAATCAATAAATTATAAAAAGAAATTATTGTAAGTTGTTCATATATACAATAAGCATATAAGATTATATAATGAATAAAGCAATAAGTATTAAACTATGTTTTTTATTCTTTCATAAGAAACAATAATTTAGTTATCTAAAAGTTAATAGCATAAATGGCAAAAATAAAAGACAGAAACTGGACAATGGCAAAATTTTGTCCTAATAATGAAGAGGCAAGTTCAGTAGGTGGCAGGATCAACAAGCTTGGATTTTTAAAAGTCTGCTAAAAATATTCAAGTCAAAAGTGCAATGAAAAATATAGGAATAATTTGTGTATTAATTTATTTGAGATGAGACAAAATTCTTATTCCTCAGTTCAAATGCAAAATACTGCACTAGAAACAAAATTCAAATTTCAGCTATTTTATTTGAAAAATTTACAAAATATTCTTTAGTGTCAACTTATATATATATAGTTTCCTCACAAGTGTAAACTGATTACAAATTAAAAAAGCCACATCTGAAATATAACTTAATGAATTTAACCTATGAAGAATTGGTATTTTAATTTCAGTATATAATTATTGAGATATTCAGTCTATGCTTAATACAATAGGATGTGCAATTGCAATAAAAACTCCAATTAAAATATATAGCATGCTGCAATATTTATGATCAGAACCATGGTAAAATAACTAAAAACAAAACCATCAGAAGAACATTAAAATGTATACATATCTTTATCATCTTTATAAATTTTTGAATATTTTCCACAGAATTGAAATAATTTGTGTAATCTCATTGTTTGTTTTTCTCAATTTTACCATGGAATAGGCCTTACTTGCAGAAAGGAGTTCAGGTTCATTAATGTTCAATGCTGTCATTATAAAATTTCATGAAATTTCCATTAAAAAATCATCATTTAAACCCAGCAAATGAATCTGTTAAAAAAAAATCCAAATGTTTGCACATCAGATCATCAGAGAAGTTTTCACTGTCCTGTGAGTGTCATAACTGTTCTCTTTGTCGATAGTTTAGGTGCATGTAATGTTTGCTTCAGAAAATATTAGCCATATTTTACGCATGTAGAAACATAGACCTATAAATATGTTTTGTGAGGATTACATGGTATCTGATATTCACTATCATTGATTCCCTACTGAACTTTCTATGCAAAAGAACAATTTATTGTGCCAGAATATTAGTTAGTGCCCTTGTAAAGCTGAAATATATTTTTTTTAATTTCGTAACTTGTTAATTTGTACATTTTCATTAATTCTTAAAAAATGCTAAGAAAGTATAAATAAGATACATAATTCAAAATTTGATAAAAAAAAAAAACATATCATGTTAAATTAAGTATTGAAGAAAATTAACACAAATGGAACTAATTTCTTAATATAAAAGATTTGGCGAATTCATCAATAATCAATACCGCCAAAATAATAAAATGAGAAAAGACTTCAAGAGATCAACATTTCAATAGTGTTCAAGAACAAGTGCTCATATCATATTGCCAACCTCTAAACTACCCAGAGACTAAACAAGTTATGAATTTTAACACAGACTATACAGTGTTCCAGAAAACATTGTATATCAATATATTATATATTATATGGTATTATATATAATTGGCCTAATCTAAATTACATGTATTAAAATAATGGATAGCAAAAGTTTGACTGCAAATACAGGAGCATCAAATTTTCACAGGGACCATAATATTTGTAGGCTAAAAAAGATTTCAAGAACTCTAAACTATCAAATCTCTGCCATTAACACCAAACTTTCAAAGGTACATTTGACCTAAATGAAAATCTGTATATCATGACTATTTACACTAGCCATAAATAGTATTAACAATAACAGTTAATTTAAATAACTATGAATTTTAACATAGATTTTAAAGAATCTCCCAGAAATTTTTTTTTACCTATATGAAATCTGTATATTATGACGATTTACACTAAATGAAAATAGTATTACACTGTTAAAAATTGGTATTTTGACTTTTTAACTAAACTAGCCTTTAAAAGTATTAACAGTAAATTTAAACGAACAATAATTAAGGGCAAGGTATCTAAAAGGTAGAGGCAGGATTAAGGTTCTAAATATGCATGGGTTACTGACTAGTCTAATTTCTAAATATTCCTTACCTCAAATCTTACTCTACAGGGAAAAACATAGTAAAATATTCAGATCTACAGAATATGTATCAAATAATCTACAGGAAAAGTTCACCTTCAAATCTACAGAAATTGTCCTCTAACACTTGTACACTAACTGGGAAAAGTTACAGAAAACCTACAGAAAAACTGACTTGGCACACATTTCTTAGTACTATCAGTAAGACAGTATCAACTGTAATTTGATCATTAAAAAAAAACCTTTAAGATCCAGTTCTAAGGAAATAAATTAATTTCACAAAATTTTCTGTGGAAGTTTAGTGTACAAAAATTCCTTCCGAAAAATACAAAAAAAATATGTGCCAAGTCTAATGTTCATATTGTATTGTAGCTCACATGCACACACACACACACACACATTCACTTTTCTACAGAAAATGGGGGTCAGTATCAAGACAGATTTTTCTATTTCTATGACCATACGTATTGAAGACAAGAAATAAATAGAAAAAAATCAAATTTTGATTTTTTTTTAAACACTACCAGTCTTTAGTTGACACAATTTTTATTTTGAATGTTAAGGATGTTCTGACGTTTGACTGTGTGTGATATATGCTTATGTTTCTAAGAATTATATTGTTGGTATGAATAAAAGAAGATATGGGTTAAAATCAATGAGGAACTTAAGTTCCTTAACACAACATATCATCTAAGAAATAAATCTAGAGAGTTTACGATGATTACAAATATGGTATTGTGCTTAAAATTTGTAACTATAAAAAATTAATAATGAAGACTTTGTAAGGCCACAAGAATAAATTCATAATCATATCAAAGGGAGATAATTCATGATTTTATGATAGAAAAAACTGTACAAGCATGAATGCAAAAACTTTAAAGAACATTACTAATTTCAAGAATGACTTCAGTAACTTAAATGCAAAATGAGTAATTTTTGTCTTTTTTATAATGTCAAGCGCATATTTTTTTTTACTTCACTACCAACTGACTTTATAATTCTTAGAAAAACTTGAAGATAAGTTAAAAAGTGGGTCCTACAGCTGTATTTTGGTAATATGGTGTCAGTACTGTGAATAATTAGTTTTGTATATGTATTGATATATGCATCAATATTGTTGATAATTTCACATATTAATATTTAAAAGTGTGAAAATAACACCACAGAAAAATTAAATGATTGTAGCAACCGAGCTTATTGATGTTTGTACTTTAAGCTGATTTGGAATAAAACATTAATATAACACAAACATGTAGTTTTCAATTCAAGACCATAATTCATTTTAGAACTGATGAAAAAATTGGACTGACAACATTAAAAAAAGTTTTTAATTTCATCAAAAATACCAACAGCAAGTATTTTGATACAAAATTTTGCTAAAAAAAACTTGAAATATATATCACATGTTTCAAAAGTGAGAAAGTTTGCTAAAAATACAGATAAGTAATTTAAAGAATCAGGCACATGCAATTATGAACACACAAAATATCCACACTATTAAAACACACTTATAACCACACTACAGAAATACACAAATCACTATTCATAAATTACATATGTATACCTGCTAGCCATTCGTGGAGTACTCTCTATATTATGCAGTGGCATCTGAAGCCACTTAATACTGTCTGTGCCATGTCTTCCTAGTGGCACAAGAGGTAAGGGAGGTAACTTGACTTGGTCTATATCCTTGTCCGTGTAATTGTAACCAGTCATGCATCTCATTATTGTGCGCTCCTCCTCGCTACGTTCACGGCCTTGAGACAAAAGTGGGTCACGGAACTTTTGTGTCTGTACCTAAATAGATTAATGTATTTTAGAATATTGGTTTAAAAAAAGAAGACAAATATGAACAATTTCAAAAGTTTCAATTTTCTTAAGACTTTTCTGAAGTTAACTTTTAACATTATATATTATATCTTCAATTTTAAGACATCAATTGCAAATTATAGCAGATTTCAAACATTCAATAAGAAACAATCACATAAAACTGTGTACAAAATAACAATGTTATAAATATGTTGAGAAATGTACCTAAAATAAACAAACACAAAAATCAGTCTTCTAAATTCTATAATACCTATCAAAACCTCACCTTGATAAAGGGAGAAAACAACTGGTCTGAATTTTTTGTATCTTATCCTGCTATGTGCTAAGCATGTTTAAAGTCAGGTCCAGGACTCACTATTTTTGAAACAGGTCCAGGGACTCATCATTTCTGACCAGGGTGAGTATGCCCAGAAACACATTATCAATGTAATAATTGAATATAATTTATTATTTCAGTCTCAATGACGAATGAGTCTAGGACTCAAGGGCTTATCTAAGTGAGATCCCTAAGTACGTGAATAATATATTTTGGTAATTTAAACATGCGTTAAATCTAGTACTCTCTAACCAAAGCAAATCTGTAGCAATAAATGGGTGACAATAATAATTTTTTAATACATAAATTGATACAGCATCTAACTAAATTATGGAATTATAATTTAGCTCACTTATTTGGATACAATGGAGCCTGGAATTGAATTCAAATTAGAAAAGTTTTATAATCATTGCTATTAGTATTCAATTGTTAATCAAAACCATTTCATCAATGTTAGACATGGTTATATAGATACTTTTGTTTTTTATTTTTTGTCACTCCTAGTAAGAATGTGACAGTTACAAAAGTTCACTAGGGGTATAATAAGAAGGTTAGGTACCCTTATAATAAATTTTTCAATCTTAAGAGCTGACTTTCTTTTATGAAAATGTTAACTTTATGAATAATTTTTAATCACTTTTAGAGATTTTTCAAATAAAAAAATATTTAAAAAGAGTTCAAATTTAAATCGAGATAAGATAGTACAAAATGCACCAACTTATTGAGGCAGCAACCCAATGAAAAAAAGTGATCTTGTAGGCAACATCGGTCTTTAACATGAGACTGGTATCTATACAGTTTGTTAATCTCTAAATTACCTAAATATAGTCTAAAAATAGTTTTGAATAAGTTTAAACAGGTTTTCTTATTTATAAGTGTCTGATCAATGAAATGAAACAATGTATTTGTTCTTACCTACATTCATTAGCCATCATAGCCATCACCAAATTTAGAAACAAATATTTCAAAAATTTACCAATGACCCAGTACCCTCTAAAACTGCATACTATTGCATGTTTTAAAGTTAAAATAGATTGAAAATTGACCCTTGACCCTGTGAAAACAGAATTTGTGGACAACCAATTCATATGGTTTTCAAAAACCATTACAAACCTATAACATGTGTCTGCAACAAGTCCATACGTTGTTGTGTATGTTTGTTTTTTTGTTCATTTTCTCTCTTGAATGATTTGGTTGTTATTGGTGTCCAAAATTTTCTGAATTTCTGTAGTTTTTTTATTACATTATAAAAGATTAAAAGTGTAATAAATTCCAGTCCTTGCCTCACTTGCTCTTTTCCCAGTGTTTAATACACTATTATGTTCCCAATTCTGAGTTTATCAATGCACACACAAATATTTTTGCCTAAAACCAAAACCTGGTGTCCACAATCAAAACATCCTTCACATGTAACCAAACCCTAATTTACCTGTTCAAGATCTTCATCGCTAGCAAATGCTACCTGAACACATAAAACATCTAAGAATTGAATTATCCCCCTTTATTATAACTAAAATTCCTCCTCCTTGAATGTTTTTTTCTACCATTAAACTGAATTTTCTATTTTGTTTTACCAACCTTTCTCGTTGAGATTTTTTCTAAAAATTGCATTTTGTATTTTTCATTCTTAAAACTCACAATTAATTTCATAAAAAATATGGGCCATCTATCATCATTATCATCATTGTTATTAAAAATATGCGTCTAACTACAAAAAAAATCAAGAAAAATTTAAGATCTCATGCAGGAGAACCTTTTTTTTTATATAAAATCCTCGGAATGAAGCCTTGCAACTTCATGTTGGTTGATTGATCTAGCAAAAATGGGGTGAACCAAGAAATCATAATTCACACAAACTGTGATGTTTTTGCAGAGGTTCCCATTTACAGTAAATGTAAAATTTATCGAATTATCCCTAGAAAAAAACTAACAATATGCCTCCATAGGACACCATACCCTGCTTCCAATATCACATAGGTATATACAGTAAACCTTGATTAAAGATTCACGGTAACACTTTTTTTTGGGAAGGGGGGGGGGGGGGGGGGGGGGGGGGTTGCCTATTATGTACGTTTCTATCAAGCTATTTATACATGTACGTTAACTTTAATTATAATTCAGTGTATGAGTTTGTCAGTTCCAATATTGATGTCTGTTATGAAGAACAGCAATCATCAGGCTGACAGAAAAGGGGGTGTGTTGAAGCTCATTTCCCCATTCAGAATGACAATATTTTACAAGATTATGAAGATTGCTAAAAAATATACTGTATTGTAAATTCAGAAATTATTGGGATGTTTTGATCAAGGCGAAAAATGCAACAGTATTAGGTTGGCAATAATAAAAACTTTTATTTATAATGTTAGAAGTGATTTTGCTTCAAATTTTTTTTCCAATTGCATTAATTATCAAATATTGCACTTTACCAATACTCAGTGATTCGCAATAATTTGAATTAACACTATATCGGTATATGAAATGTTCTTTCTGAAGTAAGGTGCTTAATTTAGACCCTTATCCCACAACTCCCTTCCAGGCCCTCATCCTACAAAACCCCTTTTCAGAGAGCCGATGACTGCTGTTTGATTGTTACATGTATATAATCTGAATCTCCTGCTTAGAAGTGTAATTCTGAATCAAACAATGAAATTAAATAAATGTGTCGATAATATTGTGATTTCACAACAGAAAAAAACAAAATATTCAATGACAATGTAATTGTTATGTCAAAAGTGATACAAGTTTGTGAGTTAACTTTTAACAAAAAGGAATATTAAATGAATTTTGTGATAAAAAATAATATTCAGCAACGTAAAAAATCAACAATTTCAACATTTTTACACAAACGTTTGCACAACTAAGCCAACAAAACATAACACCTAAAGCAGGCTTATTTCTTGAAAATCATGAAACCTTAGCATTTTGAACACTCTCTCTAGGGTGCTTATTTCCCAAATCTCGCTTTTTTTTTTGTTATATTTCCCTGTTTCCCACTTTTTTTCCTTCCTTTTCCTCAAAACTTATTTTTTACCCCTATATTCCACACCCAAAAACGTGTCATGCCCCTCCCTCTAATACTTGTTATGTCAACCTTAAAGGGACCTCATTGCTTCAAAAAAAACCTGAAGCTCTTTGCAAATATTCATTTTTAACTTAATATTCTAGCCACACACACATGTCACTCAGTTTTTGGTTGTGGCGTAGTTGTGCATTATATACCTTGAAATGTTGAGTGTTGAAATGCGCCTGAGCCTTGACCATATGCTTACTCCACTTTAAGCACAAATTCTGATTATAAAATCATTAGTATGTTATCTAATAGCTGTTTTTTTTTATAACTTCATTGAAAAGGTTAAATTAGAACATTCAATGCATGCTTATTCACTAAAAAAAATTTTATAAAAAAAAAAAAAAAAAAAAAAAAGTTAGCATGCTTTTATTATTTCATTTTATAACAATACTGTAAATTACATTTGGTTACATGATACATATAGTATGCATGCATTTACAGAAAGAAAATACATAATAATAAAATTGTATTCATTTCATTTCAACAGTATAAGAGGCAGCAAAATCACATACAAAAAGTTTCATTTTTGCACATTTATAATAATTGATGGCAAACTGTGAGCTTTAGGGACTCAATAAAATAAAACCACAAAGTTTAGTATTCTAGAAAAGCAGCTTTTTCTTGAAAAAAAAACTTGGGAGATTAAAATCTTTGAAAAATTTAAGATTTAAAATATATTCAAATAATTTTTTTTATTGGAATCCTGAAAAAATGAAGCAATTTATGTTAAAAGTTCTGATCACTATAAGTTTTAATGGCTAAAAGAAGCTATTATCACTAAGCTACAAAGTTAACCTTGTTACCTCCTTGGCTGTAAAAAGGGCCTGTTCATATATACAATTCTGATAAGTTTTTTTCATATTAAATTATACAGCCAAAACTTCCATTAGAGTACATATCTACATCCCAGGAAAAATGTCAGCTGCCTTTCAACAACTAGCATATCCAGAATTTCCATTTTTCCCTTTTTTAAAATAATTAAAATAAACACACTAGCATTTTTTTCTTTTTGGCTTTTCAGATTTAAAAGGTCAGAACTGCAGGTTAAATATAATTTTATAATGAGCACATTCAAGTTCATACATATGGGCCAATGTGGTATAATGGGGAAAAAACCCTGCAGTCGCTATATTTTTTGGGACTTTAGCTTCTATAATGTAATGATCATCAAACAAATTTCTTGTTTAGGGCTATTCCCTGCATGGAAGGGAAATAACTCCAGCTAAAAAAAATACATCACCAAAGTCTAAGAATTATTTTACAACAAAGTAAAAACAAAGGAAAAGGTTCTTTTTTTTTTAAATATTGCTCAGTTAATTGCCCAAAGAATGACAAAGTAGTTACATCCCAAAAAGTCTGGAGTTCTGACTCTCCCAGATATTTGTTATAGACTCTTAAGTTTCAGATATAGGATGTTAAGGAACAGATTTGTATTAAATTATGAACTAAAAATCTCAAGTATAAAAAAAATAAATATTGCCCCATTAATTTTTTGTTCAAAATCCTGCCATTCTAATTTTTCCCATTTTATAAGATAGTTACGAGTAGCAAAACATCTAATAAAAATATATAGTGTTGTATTAAAATAATTTTCTTAAAAATGATTATGTAAAAAGTTAATGTATGTTTGTTTCTATATATTTTTTGTATTTTATGCCAATTTACATAATAAGTCCTACCTTAATTGGTGCAGGCCTGTGTCCATTCAAAGCTTGTGCATAATACTCTCTTGGGTCCATTGTGTCCAAGAAAACATGCCCCTGTAAAAAAATCTTTTATTTTTATCTGGATATAAACATGGAGTTTTGCATAACAAGAGTTATCTTACTTGTTTCACCTAGATTTTGTAAAGGAAATTTCGAGCACAACTATGAAACAGCTTCGTAAACATTCAGCTTTGAGCATTCTTGATGAAGCTAAATCCCGAAAAGCGCTTCAGACGCATAAAATTTATAACATTTTGTTTTCATTTTTTATTGAAAATGCAAAAGAAGAGATGGTATATCTTGTCTAAAAATATTTTGTTGTTTCTTGAATGTGATGTATACTTTTTCCACAAAACAAAATCATCTAAGTAATAGTTTTAGAAAAAACCTATTTTGTTTTAGGCCAAAAATGTTCCAATTTCTTTCCTTTTAATCTTATTTCATAAAATAAAAAAATAAATGCTTTACTTATTTGAATTTGCACTTGTAAGTCCCAAATTTCAAAAATACATGAAGTTATATGCAAAATTTGAAAAATCTGTGACATAAGATGATTATTCAAAGTAACCATTTCATTGTTTGTTGTTATATAGATATAAGAAGATGTGGTATGAGTGCCAATGAGACAACTCTCCATCCAAGTCAAAATTTATAAAAGTAAACCATTATAGGTCAAAGTACGGTCTTCAACACGGAGCCTTGGCTCACACCGAACAACAAGCTATAAAGGGCCCCCAAAATTACTAGTGTAAAACCATTCAAACATGAAAACCAACGGTCTAATCTATATAAAAATCAAAAAACAAAAAAATACCTTTTCATTAACAAATTCTAAGTACTGCTTATGTAATTCCCTCTTTCGTCTGTCCAGTTCTGGCCAATCATCACCGTCCATTACATCAATGATCTTTTTACGTAAGGGTTCATGAACCCGATCATTCCACTTTTTGTGCAGCATCTCTTTCTTACGTAATTCCATCACATCTTTGTGACAAACGTATTCTTCTAAATCCTGCAATAAACATTATATGTACATTGTAAATGTTTCTCAAAAAGTACAGGAAATGTATTTGTAAATTGTAAATGATTTTTAAAGGATCACTGAGCTCCGAGCCCCGGGCTGAGTTTATTTCAAATGCAACAATTTTTCTTTTTAACAAGGAAATTTTCTGTTATCATCTGCCAAAAAAAAGTTATTAATATTTTTTTAGATAACTAAGGGCCATAACTATTAAATGTTAATTGTGCTAACTCATTTTGAAGTTTGTGATTCTATGAGTACGAAACTATAAAAATTTCATAATATCTCATAAATAGGTATGCTCATATTTTCAATCTGAAACTAAAATTAAATTGACAGTCGTGAATGAAGATACGTTTTTTAGCATGCTCCGTCAAATAACAAAATACGTAACAATTACCTTTACAAAGGTGCTTTCTGTTTCCAGGAGTGGATTGTATAGCTGTCTGGCTGCCTTAGATTCCACATCAGACTTTTCCTAAAAATAAAATCACAGAAAAAATCAGCTTGATTTTTTGGAAACTGCTGGCAACAATGTTTTAAATTTTTTAATGAATTTCTGTTTACAGTATAAAGATTTCCTTAAGTACATAAAATATGGAAATTTGTGAATATGAAAGGAAATCACCTCAAGAATAACATATGAAAGTAAAATCTTGACTCCTATACAAATATATGAATCAAATACATTTTTGAACTTTGCTCTAATTGACTTCTAGCTTTTTCTCTGATTGGCATGAAATAACTTTTTTACTGTCAGAAATTTAATGTTAGATGTAAAAAAAATTATCATAAAAATCTGTATTCCCTGTATTACGGTAATTGACAATTGTGCCACTCATGTATCTAAATAAATTAACATACGAAATATGTCGATTTGTCAAAATTATTCTCCTGAATTTCTGTAGACATCTAATATATTATACTTTTATTGTAAAATTTATAAATTTCTTGTAAATCAGTTAGCATTGTTATTTTCTAAAGAAACTAATACATATATATATCAATTAAAAAATCCTATCTACCGTAACTTAATAAAAGAGGAATTCTATCTGCATTATGTAAATTTAAGAAAAATGTGTTAGTTTAAAATTCCAATAATTCTGCATGGATTTATACCTCTCCTGATTTAGTACTTATTCTTTATTTGGTATTCTCTGCTCTTGAGTGGCGGATGTCAAATTCACTATTGTATGATTTAGACATGATAATGCCTAAAGGCATGAAAAGAGAAGCACACACTAGACAAAATCATGCAGAAAGAGTTCTAATTAATGTTTTGTAAATTTTTAGAAAATATTGATTGATTTTTGGTGTTTAATGCCCCTTTCCTGACATTTGGTTATATTACGTCTAATTTTATTGATGGTGGAAGTTGGAGAACCGGGAAAGAACTATGATCTTAGGCAGGAAAACTAGCAATATGGTAAATTAAGAATTGGAGTCCAAGGTTTGAACTCAAAACCTTCATCGTGACAAGCAATTTTACACTGTAGAGGAACTACTTGGACCACTCAGCCATCGAGGCCTCCTTCAGATGATAACATCAATATGTCATCCAATGATATCGCAAGAGAAAGGATTCTACCAATGAATCTTAATGACTATACCATTTCTACCTCTAAATAGGAGATTGTTCAAATATTATTAAATACTATTAGCAAGGATTTTTAGGCTATTAAATATTATAAACCATCTAGAGGTGCACAGTACTTTGTGTGTTTCATGTTTTTGTTAGTTGTTTTTGTGCCTTGTATCCATCTGATAAGTTAATAGATATAGGAAGATGTGGAAGCCCATTTCAACTGATTTGTATAGTTTGTTCTCATGTTGCATGCTGTTACACCACTGTCCCAAGTCTGGGGAAGTTTAGGCCCCAGCAAACATGTTAAAAACAGTCAGATTTTGTTTGTGCCTGTCCAAAGTCAGGAGCCTGTAATATAGTGGTTTTTGTTTGTTGCTATAGATCATATTTGTTTTTCGTTTATTGTTTTGTACATAAGTTTTCTCATTTTGAAATGTTTTACATTTGTCATGGTGGGGCCTTTAGTAGCTTGCTATACAGTATGGGTTTTACTCATTGCTGAAGGCCTTATGGTTACCTATGGTTACTATCTTCTACACCATTTAGTCTCTTGTTGAAAGTTGTTTAATTGACAATCATACCACATCCTCTTATTTTTATAATTAATTTAGTTTTGATTTTTTAAAAGCATATTTTATTTGAAAACATGACATACACATACAAAATATGATTCAGAAACATGTTTGTCCTTAAATAAATCTTGAAATCCTGAACTACTAATTTGAGTTTCATACTGGACTACATATGAATTATATATTCATGTATATATATTTCTGCCATTATCAAGGCAGTTTAGTAAAAACTTAAACTAGACCTAAATTTGATATTTTTATTTTAGTAAAACATTTTTTGTTATCTGAATTATGAAAAAGTTAGTTAACAAAGCTTCCAGTGATGACAGCAGAATAAAGATTGACAAAAAAAAAGAATTTTTAGAAATAATCTGTAGAAAAATATTTTATTTTTTACTTTCATTGTACTTTGTAGTATCAAATGGGGAAAAAAACAAACTAGAAAATACAGCAGAAGAAACTATATTTTTTCTTGTATTAGTAATGTGATTTCTATATTTATATAGCTAGACAAAATGCCATATATTTACTATTCGAAAGAATTCTGAATGCACTTATGTGCCATTTACAATATAATAGATCTATAAAAAATATTTAAAAAACCTTCCTATTTCCATTTTTTTCCAAGAGATGTTTAAACAAATATTAATTACTTTTATTAACAAATGATAATCTATCATAAACTCATATATGCTCCATAACCTCCCCTTAACAAATGTTTAAATGATATACACAAATAAGAAATCAGAGAAATGTGAAAACCTTTTCACCCAGCATATGATTGAGGAGGAGTATAACAATATCCTTTAAAAGCAAGAATATAAAGCAAGATAAAAGAAAATGCATGTATTCTCATGAGCAATCCCATTGAAATACAGATCTGTGTCCACACTTGGCTCACAAGGATTTGAAAACCCTACGTTTTACTTCCTGTTTTAAAAACCTTTTGGAATCCTCTGGTTTTGCTGTAATGATACACACCTCCTTAAATTTGGAGGAAGAATTTCCATTGGCTGATGTAATAATTTTCAGAACTGAGTGTTGTCAGATCCTTGAAAGGAAAGTGTGGACACAGATTTGTATTTTAATCAGATTGCATTATGTGTAGTATATAGTATTGTGCTTTCCTGTAAGCTGATGAATGTATAATAAGTCAACAAGAATATTCAGGAGTCCTGACAAGTTTGATTGATGTCCCAGATGCATTTGAATAAAAAAAATTATCTCCCTTTAGCTTATGCTGCTCCAGGGAGATAACTCATCAATTTGAAGATATAATTCCCTGGCAGATTAATACATAATTTACTTGTACTTTGGAGTCATTTATTTTCATGTGTACCAAATTTCATGGATTGAGAAAAACTTGCATTTTGTGGATATATGTGATTTTGTGGATTTGCCAAAGTCTGCATATATTCTTACAGAACATTTGTTATTCGTTGAACATCTGCATTTAAATTCGTGGTTCCCATGTACCAACAAATTCCATGGAAATTGGTATCCAGTGAATAATAATGAATCCATAATATTTCAAAAAATATTCTTATTGTAGTTCAAACTTATTATGACTCCTGCCTTTGTTGACAACAGTCATACATGGTTACCATGGTTACCTGTTTATCTACCCATGCTTGTGGAATGGTAAACAACTGGAAACAAAAAAACATTCACATGCAACATGTACAACATGCAATTAAAATAAAGACCAACATACACGGTTGTAAAAACATAACAAACTGTTTGACATGCAGTTAAATTGAATGAAATTAAACATGCATTATTGGGTAAAATAGGCATTTGCTCTACATTTACAAAAATACTACCCTTTTTAAATTTAATACAAGTACAGGTTAACGCAAGTGCTCCGGAAGAGTATTAAGGAGATAACAATCATTTAATTTAAAAGTGGTCTGTTTTATTGTTGGAGGAGACCAAAGAGCCCATGGTAAACCCATATCAATGGTGAGTACATATAAATGACAAATTCTATATATAGGAAGACCCAGTGTGCGATGCAATTGATGTGAATGAATGGAACAAGTAATTTATTATTGTTTATATTGGAAGAAGTTATCTGTTCCACTATAACTAAATATATCAAAGAGCCAACAAGGCCAGAGTCTACTACTGTATAGATATCAAAATGTACCCAGTAAGATTGCATTCACGACTATACAAAATTTTTTATTTTTGGCAGGAAACATGTATTATACCCACATATTGGCCTATTTTAATTTATAGACAAAGAATCTTGTTGGAATGTGTCCCATAAAAGACCTCATATGTATGTTTACTATAAAATATTATAAAAGAGGCAAAGATCTAACTCAAAGAATGAGAAATGGAAAATATCACTTTCGACAAAAATTTGAAACCAAAAAATCTTTTGTAGCTATAAAGTAAATGTGGAAAATGCCTAGTTTGGACTTCAGAGAAGAAAATGGTATATTTTTCCATATTTTTTCAAAATCAAATAAAATCTTTTACGATTATTTATCAGATAGTTCAAATGTAACCAACGTAAAAACAATAGCCATAACCTTTACTTTCAGTAGTTCTAACCTGTATGAGTGTTGTACAAAAAGCAGACAAAATAGTTACTTCTTAAAATTGACATATTAGAAACTGATTACCAATTTAAAGCCTTCAATGGATTTGTGGTAGAACATTAATGTATTAGTTATTCCCCCTTTCACAGTAGAGCAATGTTAAAATAATATATTCAAATTAAATCAAAAAGGCTTGAGTATATATCGACATACCAGACGTAATTTAGCTGAACTCTATGGATACAAGAAAAAAAAAATCTAGCATATTATGAATTTTCTTCCTTATAATATGTATACATGTACCTAAAAGCAATATTGATAGAATATACATATTAAAACTTATAAATATATATATATAAATGTATATTAAGCAAATGCTGCAATACTGGGCAATGACCAAAGCCGTTTAAATTCATAACTATGATGATTTTAGGACTATTTCAGAAATAAACATATGGGTCTTGGAAGCCCCCTCCTCCAAAGGACCCCAACCAATTCAATTTGAATTTGATGCATTATTGTGTGATAAATTGTTTCAAATCCATTAACCTGATATTATTAATACAAGGTGCATTCTAATCCCAAATCAAAATTTGGTATCTTGTATTTTTGAGACTAATCAATATAGTTGGTCATGAAACAAAGCCTGAAAGGTTTCAATATACAATTTTTAAAACCCCATGAGCTGTGGCAGCTCACTGTGCTTGTTGCAGCTTATTGTGCATTTAGAAGCTCATTGTGCTTTTTGCAGCTCATTGTGCTTATTGCAGGTCTTTTATTTCTTATAAAAAGATTCCTAATTTCCTAAATCATGTAAATCTTTACAAGTGTATAAAGTGAAAAAGTAAAAAGAAAATGAAGTAATACATTCCTATTTAATTGTAGTGAAAAAAATTAAAACAAAAAATTTCGGTGAAATTGGTCTTAGTATACAGTAAAGCCAGAAAGATTATTCCTAATTCTGGATTTCTTTTCACAAAAAAATTTTATGACTAAAAATTACTCATCTTATTATACCAATTCTTCTCATAAGTTATATCTAAATGATCATAGTAACTAACATTTTTTCTCATAAGATTTTTTGTAAAATGAGTTGCTGAGTCAACATTAATAATTCTTTTGGTATTAATTTTATTACTTTTTGATCAATTTCTCTACATAATTTCAAAATGTCAGAGAAAAACCTATTATTTTCAGTTTGTGTACAATATTCTTTTTATAATCTGGCTGTATTGCATCCTACAACTGCAATCTCAATAAGTAAGTGATCTTAAATTATATAAATTTCTAAGTTTAAAATTGCCAAATCACACCGAATTAATGGCTGTGGTTTGTAAACTAAGTTACCTGTAAACTCTTGACCGTCTTTTCATTCAGCCAATCCTGAACTTTGAGTGTTTGTCCAATCAAACTTTTTGAATCCATTCCAGTACCAGGTTTGGCCCCAGCTGGAGTGGAGTATGGTCTCTTTGATGACCGCCTCCTCTGCACAGCTGACCTGTTCATCATCTTGAAGAAAAAACACAACAGTTTAAATAAACAGAAAATTTTAATCATGTGATATTTTGTTCATAACATGTTGATCACTTTTCAAGTATGACATTCTTTCCATCAGCAGCTACATTAGTACCGGTATGTAGGGCAATAAAAAGCTGCAGTGTAGTTTGTAAAAAATTAAATTGTGGATAGATTACTTTGTTAAAATTTAGTTTTTATCATAAAATTCAACAAATAAAAGAGTTGAATGGGATTATTAAAGATACCTAATTTTGAAGAAGTTGTTTTAAAGTAATTCATGAAAAATTTGATGTACAGTAATTTACAGGCTAGGAAACAAAATAAAGAGACTTCTCAGAAATTATACTGTTCTGACAACTGTTAGCCCTTTTAACTTGGACTATAATCCTTTTATTCTGGAGATATTCAGTCATTACCTCTTATCATTTTGGAGATTCATCCTTATATTCCAAGGTAAGTCAAATTTATCATTAACCAGTTGACCGCGACGTTTTCAGAATTACGTTTGTGACGATTGTTGGGAAAACTTTCTGTATAATATTCTAAAGAGGGCATGCATGTCCCTAGCGCTGATAAAGAGTTAACTTTATATTAATGTAAATTGTGGCATTTCTAAGGTGTCCATAGACGACTTTCCAATTCATGCACTTTTCAGTAAATTGCCTATGTCACAATGCTTATATTATAACGTCACAGAAAGGACTGATTGTTCCATGACATTGTATACTCTGATTGACCTTGGGTCAACCCATGTAACTCATTCATGAAAAACAACTCAAAATTGGTGTATTGATATTTGGTGGTGTTTTTTCAACTATAAAATGCAGTCCGTTAAATCTGCCCACATAAGGCTTTGATGGTATGTATTTCTGCTTAACTATATATAAATTGTATCAAATTTAATATAAATCGATTCACTAACAACTCAATTTTATTCACTAACAACTCAATTTTGAGTAGTTTATCTCATTTCCCTAAAAATGTCTGACATAAATTTTAAAATCAACAAAACAAGTGGGTCACCTGTTTTTTTGTCAGAAATGTGTTTGTTCGGTAAATCCGCCCTGTGCAGTAAATGTGTATGTAGGGCCAGTTTATTACATAATTATGAACATGATGAAATTAAAGGAAATGGTGATTTATTAATAATGTTAAAAGACTACATATAAAGGGATTCCAGACAACCGAAAAGAAAAAAAATATTTCAAGTCAGTAATGAGTTTTGTAAGCAATATGATTATCATTAGCTAATGCTTTCGGAACTGTATTATAGATATCACTCGATATTTTCGTAATAAAGGAATTTTCTTTAAAAGTTGACATGCAGAGAGGATAAGTATAGTTCCTTTGAATAAAATAGTAGACGATATATTCAAGAAAGTGACAATTACGGATGTAAATGGGAGTGGGCAGGTTTAATAGATGGCCGGAATTACCGGACACTTCTGTACCTTTATTGGCTTTAGCGAGGTATCAGGTCCGTTTGCTCCCAAAAACACATTCGCACCCTACACATTCGCACCGCACACGTTCGCCTCCTGGGTCCGTTCACACCCTTTTTTTATTCAAATACCGGTTGAATTATTAGATGTTTTTTAGATGTATTTATCAAAATATTTATATTTACATGAATAAAAATTCATGAATTTTTTAAATGAAATATTTTTTTGTGATTAGATGATTTATTACATGTATTAATTTATTAAAGATTACCGCTAATTGGTATTTACAAAATAATTTGGTATTATTGTTATGTGTTTGAGTAAAGTAAAATACAAGAAGTTACAAAAAATTATTTTGGGCGAACGGACATGAATTCCTTTAACAATATATTATATGTACTGGTCTAATAATATGACAACAACAATTGGATTTCTTTTCCATGACTCCTAGCTCAAATTGAAATAGTTTTCGATTGTCATCGATTAAAAAATCCCCGCATATTTCAAAATATTTAAATCGTTATGTGAACAAACCGTGGTTGTAATATGATCCTGACTGTCGATCATTAATTCTTCAATGGCATCGTTATTGTGGACTTGTAATTTGCCACCTTGCTGTTTCACACACAGCAGGGACGCCATGGTGCTGCTACACACCAATTGTTGTCCAAAATAATTGTGTGTTTAGGGGAGAACCTTCAAAAGAAAGAGAGGCTGATGTTGAGCATCCAGATGTTGGCCGCCATTTTCGTAAACAATCTGACGTCACATGGAGATATATATTTAGACTGTTATTTGCGAAGGTGTAACGTTTAAACGATACCTAAGATATTAGAGAATAAAGTTTATTGTAAAATCAAAGTATCACTTGACTAATTATACAATATTTTCCATTAGAAAAGGAGAAACTGCTGCAAAACATCTCCTTGACGACAATGAAGACCTCAATCAAGGGAGGTAATTCTGTTAGGACACGAAAGAAAATATGGTAAAGATTTGGTATCATTTTGTGGATACGGAAAACTATGTTACTGTGCATTATAAATTATCCCAAATCATATCTTGTTTATCAGCCTCAAAATGTTGAACTGAGTTATTTCATTAAGATAAAGCACTGGAGTCATTTGGTACCAATTTTTGATCATTTTTAGCTGGTTGCACAAGCCCTAGATCAGTAAATGGGGAACTAATATCCCCAGAGGTGTAACAATCCCTCAGTTGATGAATAATGTTGATAGTGTTTAAAAAAGTATTTATATTAGAAAAGAACAAATTTATAGAAAATTCTTTATAATAGTTTTAGAACCTTAATAACTGGTAGGGATCGAACAACAATTCTCTCATTACCAAGAACAAAATTACTTCACAGTCTTTTGGGGATAGCTATCTGTAATCGCATTGTTATCATTAAATTTTTATACAATTGCCACCTATAGTTACATGTGAGTTACGTACAAGCGAGAAAAATAATGTTATTATGCACGAAACAAAGTACATTATTTTTTGTAATATATTGTACAACAATCCAGTGTCAAGAGGGACACCTACAGATAACTTCCCCTTTAGTTTTTGTTATATTAAAAAGGTAGTTGGCGTATAGACCGATTTTTCTTACAGGCGTGCTAGGGAAAACAATGGGAAAATTGTGACAATTAAATAGCCTAGAATATTTCTAAGAGGCGGAAAATATTAAAAAGATAATGTACATGTACAAATGTATATACGAACAAAACCGACTCAGATTCTTGCATTTTCCCGTAAATTGCCACAGTAAGAACCGATTGTTCATTGACGTTATTTACGCCGATTGACCTCGAGTCAACTGCAGTGTAACTCATTAGTAAAAAAACAACTCAAGATTGGTGTATTTTAAATCAATAACTGCTCTTTTAAAATTTACTGAGACAATAATGGTTCTCATGGTAACTGTGACAAGTTGATTTCCCTTTTAAAACTGTGATGTCATCCTATATTGCCTTACTTGCATAACAAACAGGAAAGAACCTACATAATCTGTTAAGTCTGTTTCCTATAATTGTGTGAGTAATTCACATAGTTTTATTCCAAAATATGACAAAAGAAAGGAAATGGCATATTGGCTCTAAAGGATGTGTAAAATTGACAATCTTGAAGTTTTGCCCAAATTGTGCCGAATTAATCCCCCTCACAGACTGGTAGAAATGAGGACATCTAGGTGAGCTGTAGTATACATGTAGGAGGGTGTAGCTGGGGGTCCTTGATTTCTGTATACTTTAATTTTTACCCTATTTATTTTATCCTTTATATTTTTGGCCCTTTATTTGATATTCTTTATATTGAGCACCCAATTTATCAATTCTTTTTTTTTTTAACATATGAATTAATAAAGAGCAAGACTCCCTTTTAAGACAATTATCAATGATGTTTTAATTGTCTGATAATTTATCAAAAAAATTTTCATTTACAATGTATTATTCTTAAAAGTTTAAGATAGCTTATAATTATATATCACAATATAGATCAAGATATAATATCAAAATAGATTTTCTTCTACAATTTCCTGTCAGTGGTTTAAAAAGACTTTTCTGTAGACAGTTAAGCAAAACAGCATGCGTCTTGTTTGATTTTTCAAAAAACAATAAAGATAAATTAAAAGATTTTTCCTGCCTACTGACACTTTAAAATTTTCATGTGTTAAGGGAAACCAAAATTAAATTTTCAATGGCCTTATACAGTTCTGTCACCGTCTCACGGAATAGAAGTTCCTTCATAATATAAGTTCCAAATGGAAACAATATTCTGGAATATTATTTCCACTGGAATAAACATTACAGTAAATGTTCCTAACGGAATAAATGGTATAGAATATTTGTTCCAACAGGAACAGATATTATGACATTGTTTATAACAAAGTTTCCAGTGGAACTTCTGTTAGGTGGAACAAATATATGTTGACATTTCCAATAATTATAGTTTGATAAGATTTTCTAATAAGTGGCCTATATGTATATCATATGAATTAACGTTTTGATTATTTAAGATTTTACCTTTTAGTTTAGTACATTTTTAAGTCCCTTTTCTTTTAATACATGTATAATCATTATGTAAACATGATTGATTTTGATGACTTAAAAATAGTTTGCACTGGAATGCTGAGTGTGAAAAATAAGCATAAACAAAATGCAATTATCTATCATTTATGTTTTAATGGCAAAATTATAATTTTTACAAAAAATGTTTTTACAAAACTTTGGAAATGGTGAAAAACAACCATTAATGGATTCACTCAATTTTCTGATTATTAACATGATTAACCTAATACTGAATAATTTATTGATGTAATATAGTATATCAATTTTGACAGTTTACATTATTAAAACATACATTCTTACCTTAAAGCCTTTGTGGGAAAAGCCTTATTTTTGGATCTGTTTTATTTGATTGATTCAAATTTATTCAAATTAAACTACAGTTTAATCAAGGAGTAATTTAACAACCTATATTTGTGATATCTTCAAAGGGAGATAATTTATAATGTTTGGTTGACATGTTTTAAAGGTTTATCTATTAAGAAAATTGTAAACATTATTGAAATGAAGAAATAGAACCTAAGTTTATCAGTTTGATATAAGGATGTTTGTTGATTTTATTTGATAAAAAGTATACATGGTAATATTTTAAGATTTTTCTTTGAAGGGAAATTTTTAACATTGGAAATCAGAAAAGTGATATAAATATTTTAAACAATATTTTTCATGAGACTTCAAGATAATTTTGTAGAAACATTCTTAAAGTCTCTTTTTTTATTGATAAGTAAGCCTAACAGGCCTAAGATATTGTGATCTGAATTTTCAATAATAAATTTAATAGAAAAAAAAGTTTTCCCTATTTTACCCCCTTCATATAATTGGTTAAAAGTGAAATTCGTAAACACAAATAACAAAATTGGATATCCCAGTGATGATTATAAGTTTTACTTTACTTCATATTCGAATTTTCATTCTCATGATAAAAAGAAGAAATTTGAACAGTCTCTAGTTAATTTAATAGATCAACAAAAATATAAAAAAAAAACCTTTGTTTTTTAATTGTTGCCGCATACCTGCTTTTTGAATTATTGTTTGATTTAACAGTGATATATGCAGCATTTGTAATGATTATAGGATAATGCATGGATGGAATTTTATTTGAATGGTCATAATTATATGATTTTGTGATCAACATTTATGATTTTTTATTTTTTCATTAATCATAATAATTTTATGACATTTTAAGCAATTGGATTAGACATATATATAGACATAAAAAACAAAATGGGAGATATTGATTTGAAAAGGAACCCACAATTTCAAGTCTCTGGACTTCCTGTAAGTAGAGCATGGTCTTTTGATAACAGTTGCAGCATGTTTTATTAATCATAAGCATGATAATGTTTAATCGTGATCATAATAATTGTGTTTTGAAAATAATGAAAATTGTTGCACATGATTTAATTGAATTGCAATTACAAAGTTTTGTGTTCAACTAATTAGTTTCAAAACCAGTGTGTTATTCCCCACACACCTAGCTAATACTGCTAACCAACTACTTATTTAACAAATGGGAAAAATAAAGCGAATGGAATTCATTGCCAATATGTCTTACTTCTGAATCTTCTTCTTAATTCTTACAACAACATAGAACATATATACTACGTCAGATAGAAGTTGACCTTATGCAAATGCTTATCAATACATTTGTTAACCTATTTCGAGTTGAAAAATCTCCATACAAAGTCTTTAACTGTTTGAAAATTGAGTTGATATAAGAACCCTTTAAAATAGACCAACATTTATCTTTTATTTTGTATTTGAATGTTTTAATATCAATCAAAGTCTTATACATGTACATGTATATGTGCACTAGCATATGGTCGATTTCTATCCGACACAGCTCGTATATATAGAAAATCATAAGAATTGAAGAATTCACTGCAAAGACAGCTAGGATTGGCAAAACACCAAAAAAGGTAAACCTTAAAATAAGTTGGTTGACAGTAATGGTTGCTAGCTGGTATCCAATGAATTGTTCACAAGTAAAATTACATAACACAAGAACAATGAACTATGTCCATAGAGGGGTTTACTCCTGGTTTGCCCACTTTTAACTACACCAATTATCTATTAGTAAAGAAAACAAAAAAGACAAAAGGTTTAATGAGCATACAATTATATAGTCTATTCCAACTTAGGTATATAGTTTATCAGTGTTTTCTATATATATTCAGGTATTTTTTATTTTGTAATTCCATTTTCATAAATGTATAGATAAATTATAAATAAATCATATATTTTTTCTCTCAATAATTTAACACACATGTAAATCAATGGCACTAGCCTGTTTTAAAAGTAATATAAAGTACTTAGTATATTAAAAAAAAACTAAACAAATTTCGTGTGCAGGTTTTTGGGGCCGCTGAAGGCCCGAAGAAGCTATAGAAAAATGTATGCAAAATCATGCATTCTGCGCATCTTCCAGAACCTTTCTTGATCAAAAATGCAAGTTCTGTTTTAATTATTTTTTGACAATATTTTGGTCTCAAGGCAAAACATATAGTGTCATTGTAAGACTTTTAGTTTTTAAGGACATCAAAAGACCAATATGTAGGATAAAGCAAAAACATGTAGTTCACATATAGTTTTATGGATGTGGCTGCTTTTTTTTTTTTTTTTTTTAAATAGAAGTCAAGTTAAATTTTTTTTTTACTAAATTACAAATGGAAAGCAACACTAAGAGAATAAAGTAAATGTTAGTGAGACAATATACCTAAGTTAAATAAAACCCATTTTCAGACATTTCATTCAAGTAAATTAATATTTATACATTATATAATTTAAAGATTTGGGAAGTTTTTCCCTAAAAAAATGAAAAGGGCGAATTTTGGAAGAATCTGATGCCATCTCATACTTTAGAATAGCATTTATAAAATGGCTTAAAAGACCTGCCGAGTTATTTATTTTCAATAAATTTTAAGTCAGTTCATTTATTTTCAAACTCCCCCCCCCCCCCCCCCCCCCCCCCCCTCCTACAATATCCAATGGTCGTCACCTAATATATGAATCAAGTTTATAAGTGCATTGCATAAGGAAATAAATAGAGCACTATGGTAAAATAGCAATCTGTTGGGTTTTTTAAAAGAAAAAAATGCTAGCTTGGATGCAGATTACTGTTCAAATTATTTCATTTGTAAAGCTTGGCTACTGAACAGTTGCATTTTTATTCTATTTGTTAGAATTTATTGTCAAATTCAATACATTTTTCTGATAAAAACTATATTAAAACTTTTGAACATTTTCATATACAGGTAAAATAAAAGGTAAAAAATATGACTATAATTCAGAAATAAACTATAATTGTTAAAACAACAATCCACCCTATGTTTACATATGCATGTAATTAAAAGTGGGCAAACCAGGATGACACCCCATAGAGGTCATTGTACTGGTAACTCCCTAGGATACCATAATCATGATAATGTTGTTGTGATGTATTGTGACAGGATTTCTGCTGGATAATTCTGTTGATGGATTTAATTATCCATTGAGAGCAAGGCAACAAAAGTATCAGGTTTAATAACCAGGATACAAAGAGAATGATTGCTTGATATTAATTAATTGAGTTTGCTGCATGTGTTTGAATGTTAACCTAGAATATGCTTGCATGCGTTTTATACAGCATTGTAACTATGAAAATTATATTTCAGCTACATGAAATTCTAATTGTTCAGTTGACAGCTATCTGCTTTAAAGGTTTATTTTTTCCTTTCTTTTTTTTTTTTTTTTTTTTAACTCAGATAGTTAGGTTAAGTAAATGCAAATTTAGAATTTAAATTACCTAAAGTTACTTTCTCTCATTTAAAAGATTTTGTTATTTTGTCATGGCATTGTCAGTTTGTTTTTTACTTATGAGTTTGAATACCAGGGAATTTCCCTTTGGTATCTTTCACATCTCTTTAATTTACGACTCTTTATGATAAGGGTATACTTTACCACCATTGTATTTTAGTTTATTTTAAATCTTTATCAATGATCATGTGATGCTATATCCCCAGTTCTTCTTGTAATGCAAAATTTTGTTAAGCAATATTTAGTTCACTGTGAACTACATTGCATGGTGACTTTTATGGTTCTTTGTAAATACATCATATTATATATATATATATATATCAGTGACTACAATTTTCTTGTAATGTATACAATAAAGATCAGCAACATGTTAATTTCATGTTTCAAAGACTTTTTTTAGCATTTCAGTTTTGATATATTTTGCATCCATTTACAATGATTTATATAATTATTTGAAACTCTCCTCTTATATACATATACTTTTATAAATGTGACCTCATTGCATTTTTTTGTGTGTAATTTGGTCCATATCTCAGAAATCCATATAATTATATCAAATATATTTTCATTTTAGAGTGTCTTCAAAAATCTTGTAAGGAACAATTTAGATCTGCTGCATAAATATATATTACATATAATGATCTACACATTTTGATTTCATGTTGAAAACTTTTATAGCATTTCAGTTTTGATATGTTTTTCATCAATTTATGCATAATTCTTGGAAACTATCTACTTGTATAGTGCAGTGCAGTTTATCAATATTTTGCCCATATGATTTTTTTTCACTTCAACTCAAGCGATTATTCTTAAATAAATATCAAAGTAGTCTAATGTAGTATATATATCCTTTTCTTGAACTGCATATACAATGCTGATCCGCATTTGGATGAACGTTAAATCCTACATTTTACACTTGAGTTACATTAAACTTGGGTTTCAGTGAGGTATCTCAGAAACCTATTGTAAATAAGGTCACTAAATACTTGAATAAATTTAAAAAAAAAAAAAAAGTTTCTTTTATACCTACAATTTTGTGAAATAAATTATGCAAAATTCATGTGAAAAAAAGAGAAGAAAAAAACATTGAAACATTTCATTTTGTGATGGAAAATTTTAGGTTAGAATTGTGGGACTTTATAACAATAATAACCAACTCCTTTTTATACGACCGCAAAAAAATTTTGCGGTCGTATATTGGTATGACTTTGGCGTCGGCGTCGTCGTCGTCCGAAGACACATTGGTTTTCGCACTCTAACTTTAGTTTAAGTGAATGGATCTTTATGAAATTTTACCATAAGGTGTAATACCACAAAAGGAAGGTGGGGATTGATTTTGGGGGTTATGGTACCAACTGTTAAGGAAAAAGGGGCCAAAAATAAGCATTTTTGTAACTTCCAGACATAACTTGTGTGTTAGTGTATGGATCTCTCTGACATTGTACCACAAGGTTCCATATCACAAAGGGAATGCTGGGATTGATTTTGGGGGTAATTGTCTCCAAAATTTAGGAATTAGGGGCCAAAAAGGGGCCAAAAACAAGCATTTTTCTAGTTTCATGACAATAACTTGTGTGTAAGTGTATGGATCTCTCTGACATTGTACCACAAGGTTCCATATCACAAAGGGAATGCTGGGATTGATTTTGGGGGTAATTGCCTCCAAATTTTAGGAATTAGGGGCCAAAAAGGGGCAAAAACAAGCAGTTTTCTAGTTTCATGACAATAACTTGTGTGTAAGTGTATGGATCTTTTTGAAATTGTACTAAAAGGTTCCATATCACAAAGGGAAAGCTGGAATTGAGTTTTGGGGTAATTGCTCAAAACGTTTAGGAATTAGGGGCCAAAAAGGGGCCAAAAATAAGCATTTTTCTAGTTTCATGACAATAACTTGTGTGTAAGTGTATGGATCTCTCTGACATTGTACCACAAGGTTCCATATCACAAAGGGAATGCTGGGATTGATTTTGGGGGTAATTGCCTCCAAATTTTAGGAATTAGGGGCCAAAAAGGGGCAAAAAACAAGCAGTTTTCTAGTTTCATGACAATAACTTGTGTGTTAGTGTATGGATCTCTCTGACATTGTACCACAAGGTTCCATATCACAAAGGGAATGCTGGGATTGATTTTGGGGGTAATTGTCTCCAAAATTTAGGAATTAGGGACCAAAAAGGGGCCAAAAACAAGCATTTTTCTAGTTTCATGACAATAACTTGTGTGTAAGTGTATGGATCTCTCTGACATTGTACCACAAGGTTCCATATCACAAAGGGAATGCTGGGATTGATTTTGGGGGTAATTGCCTCCAAATTTTAGGAATAAGGGGCCAAAAAGGGGCAAAAAACAAGCAGTTTTCTAGTTTCATGACAATAACTTGTGTGTAAGTGTATGGATCTTTTTGAAATTGTACTAAAAGGTTCCATATCACAAAGGGAAAGCTGGAATTGAGTTTTGGGGTAATTGCTCAAAACGTTTAGGAATTAGGGGCCAAAAAGGGGCCAAAAATAAGCATTTTTTAGTTTCCAGACAATAACTTGTGTTCAAGTGTATGGATATCTCTGAAATTGTACTGCAAGGTACCATACCACAAAGGGAAGGCTGGGATTGATTTTGGGGGTAATTGCCTCGAAATTTTAGGAATTAGGGGCCATAAAGGGGCAAAAAACAAGCATTTTTCTAGTTTCAGGACAATAACTTGTGTGTAAGTGTATGGATCTTTATGAAATTGTACTACAAGGTTCCATATCACAAAGGGAAAGCTGGGTTTGAGTTTGGGGGTAATTGCCCCAAATGTTTAGGAATAAGGGGCCAAAAAGGGGCTAAAAAACAAGCATTTTTCTAGTTTCCAGACAATAACTTGTGTTCAAGTGTATGGATCTCTCTGAAATTGTACTGCAAGGTACCATACCACAAAGGGAAGGCTCGGATTGAGTTTTGGGGTTCAAAAAATTTGGGGGGGGGGGATTTTTTTTTCATTTTTGTCGAGCCTGCGACTTTTGTTGCAGAAAGCTCGACATAGGGATAGCGATTCGGCGGCGGCGGCGTTAGCTAACTTCTTAAAAGCTTTATATTTTAGAAGATGGAAGACCTGGATGCTTCATACTTTGTATATGGATGCCTCATGTTACGAAGTTTCAGTCAGTCACATGTCCAATGTCCTTGACCTCATTTTCATGGTTCAGTGACTACTTGAAAAAAAAGTTCAGATTTTTTGTAATGTTAAATTCTCTCTTATTATAAGTAATAGGATAACTATATTTGGTATGTGCGTACCTTGCAAGGTCCTCATGCCCGTCAGACAGTTTTCACTTGACCTCGACCTCATTTCATGGATCAGTGAACAAGGTTAAGTTTTCGTGGTCAAGTCCATATCTCAGATACTATAAGCAATAGGTCTAGTATATTCGGTGTATGGAAGGACTGTAAGGTGTACATGTCCAACTGGCAGGTGTCATCTGACCTTGACCTCATTTTCATGGTTCAGTGGTTATAGTTAAGTTTTTTTGTTTTGGTCTGTTTTTCTTATACTGTATGCAATAGGTCTACTATATTTGGTGTATGGAATGATTGTAAGGTGTACATGTCTAGCTGGCAGGTGTCATCTGACCTTGACCTCATTTTCATGGTTCAGTGGTCAAAGTTAAGTTTTTGAGTTTTGGTCTTTTTTTCTAATACTGCATACAATAGGTCAGCTATATTTGGTGTATGGAATGATTGTAAGGTGTACATGTCTAGCTGGCAGGTGTCATCTTACCTTGACCTCATTTTCATGGTTCAGTGGTCAAAGTTAAGTTTTTGAGTTTTGGTCTTTTTTTCTAATACTATATGCAATAGTTCAACTATATTTGGTGTATGGAAATATTTTATGATCTATATGTCAGTCACGCAGGTTTTATTTGACCTTGACCTCATTTTCAAGGTTCATTGCTCAGTGTTAAGTTTTTGTGTTTTCGTCTGTTTTTCTTAAACTATAAGCAATAGGTCAACTATATTTGTTGTATGGAAGAATTGTTAGCTGTACATGCCTGCCTAGCATGGTTCATCTGACCTTGACCTCATTTTCATGGTTCATTGGTCAATGTTTAGTTTACTTGGTTAATGTTAAGTTTATGTGACAGTTGTAATAAAGCTTTATATTTAGGACTATCAACATAATATCAATGATAAGTAAAGAAGGCGAGACATTTCAGCGTGTGCACTCTTGTTTTCTTTAAAATTTTCCATTTTAAATTGGTTATTTCTGATTTATATATAAAAGCAAATAATAATGATATGGTTTGAATAGGTAAATTAAAATTTTTTAAGTTCTTAGACCACATTCATTCTGTGTCAGAAACCTATGCTGTGTCAAATATTTAATTACAATCCAAATTCAGTGCTGTATCAAGCTTGAATGTTGTGTCCATACTTGCCCCAACTGTTCAGCGTTCGACCTCTGCGGACGTATCAAGCTGCGCCCCAGCGGAGCATTTTATTGGAAAATAGTGACCCCACTTTTGACTGCTATCCAAATAAATCTTTCGCAAATTTGAAATATTTTAAAGTTATGTTTATTTCCTGATGTGAAGTATATTGAAGTGAATTTCTCATTATACTTAGAAAGATTTTATTTTTGATGCAGTTGGTGCAAAAAGGGTGTATACATCATGTAACTTAAAAAATCTAAATATACATCCTTTGCGCAAATTTGAAATTGTTAATTGTGAGCTGACTTTAAACATGCAGTTTTAAGACCAGTGCAAGATATCCTAAGAAAGTTTTGCATTGTGTATACTTCAAAATTGTGTGGAAAGGAAATAAAATAAGAAATTATGTCAAAAAACTTTCCTTACCTTATGTCCATCATGATTGTGAAGTTATTAATCCAGAGTAAAAAATCTGAAGAAAAAAAATAGTTTGTTAATCAATTTAAACGCAAACATAATTTGAGATAAGTATTTAGATAACATTACCATTGTAAATATATTGTAATATTTATTTTACTCTTAAGTTGGTCTTTTTTAATGGTCCAATATCAAATATTTAACCGTGATTTTGACATTTTACCTTTTGTTCCAAACTCACCTTTTAATATCCTCCCGCGAAGCTGATTTTTAAAATCCAATTAATTTTAAGATGTTAACAAAAAAGTCTGACAAATAAACTCTTATTTTATAGTTTGAACTTTTATACTTACATTGGTTGCTGGGGTGTACGGTATTAGTTGTATAGGACTTTGTGGACAAGTTGAAAAACGAATTGTGAAAATTTTTCTGCAAGTTTAATTTTGAAAGGAGTAAATCAGCTAATTGTTTTACTAAAACAAAGGAATATAGTTGAAAAGAAAATATTAAATTTCACTCTGAAGTGTGTTTGTGAAAAGAGAAGATTTCATGGTTCAGAGGACGGGCGCATTTGAATATGGAGACTAGCCCCTCACAATGTAGCGCTTCAGTTGATCTGGTGGTAACTATACCATTAACAGAAATAGTTTCGGGGTACTATGTGGGGGGAGGGGGGATATATGTTGTTATTTTCTTAAAAGTTCTTTAAAAAAAAAGAAAATCATGCACGTCTCAAAGAATAAGAAAAATAAATTAAAGAATAATATTTTACACTAAAAAAAAACCCAATTTATTTCAGCTTACTTGTAATATACCAATTTTTTTTTATAGTTTTTTCCAAATTAAAATGCAATAACCCTCTGTTACCTCTTATTTTGCTATAATTAAAAGGCTAATATAATCAGATCTTTCTGCAACGTCAACTATTATAATTTGTACAATAGCAAAAATTTTAATTAACGAAATTTTAGACTTTTCTGGTATTTAATGCTATTTGATAAACTGATATAGTTTACATGGGTTAAATTTCACTTCAAAACATAACATTTTCTAAACTTATTTAAATCTTGATATGCTTTAAAATTGTTAGAATTATTGAGGAAGGCAAGGGACTTAATAAACAAGAGTTTTGGAATCTGAAGAAATATATTGGGATATATTAATATACAACATGAATTTCTTGTTCAGGAGGGAAAGCTTGGATATAATGGTACATTGTAATTAAATAGAGTAAAATTTGAAGCATTAAAGAAATTCAAAATGAGAGAAGAAAGACTTAAAATGTCATATTGAAAAACTATAATTTTTTTTAATTTGATATTGTCTTTTAACATGTTTAAATGTAGGCGTTATATCTTTCATTCTTCAGATCAGTTATGTTTTTTAAAGTACTCTGCTAGTAAATTCAGAAATTATTGCAATGTTTTTATTATAAATGCATGATATGCCCGTCACCAACTGGACAGTTTTCAACTAATATAGTTCCATAACTCTGCAATGTCATATCTCAAATTTATAGAAAACAAAAGGGAGCTTATTTCAATAGATATAAACTAGTCACCAAAGTTTCATGATACATGTAACTGCAAAAAGCCTTTTTGAGTTATTGTCCGAAATACTTGAAAATCCCCCCTTTTTTTATGAATAAAGTCCAAATACTCTAAAATGTAAAATCAGAAATTTTTAAAAATCAAAAGGGAACTTATGTCAGTATATATAAACAATTCACCAAAATTTCATGAAAATTGTTCAAAGGGTTTTTATACGACCGCAAAAAATTTGCGTTTGTATATTGCTATCATGTCGTCGTCGTTGTCCGAAGACATTTGGTTTCTGGACAATAACTTTAGTATAAGTGAATGGATCTCTATGAAATTAAACACAAGGTTCAATAGCACAAAAGGAAGGTTGGGATTGATTTTGGGGGTTATGGTCCCAAATGTTTAGGAATTATGGGTCAAAAAGGGGTCAAAAAAGGCATTTTTCTAGTTTCCAGACAATAACTTGTGTATAAGTGTATGGATCTCTAAGAAATTGTACCACAAGGTTCCATACCACAAAGGGAAGGTTGGGATTGACTTTGGGGGTTATGGCCCAAACCGTTCAGGAAATTGGGCCAAAAAAAGGGGGAGGACAAGGTTTTTCTGGTTAATGGACAAATACTTAAGTTAACTAGTCTATGGATATCGATGAAATTGAAACACAAGGTTCCATACCACAAAGGGAAGGTTGGGTTTCGCTTTGGGGGTTATGGCTCAAACCGTTCAGGAATAAGGGGCAAAAGGGGGTGGGGGGGGGGGGAGGTCAACAAGGTTTTTCTGGTTTCCGGACAAATACTTAAGTATTAGTCAATGGATCTCTATGAAATTATACCACAAGGTTCCATACCACACACAGAAGGTTGGGGTAGATTTTGTGGATTGTGGCTTTAATCGTTGAGAAACTAGAGGACAAATAGGGGCCAAAAACAAGACTTTTCTAATACTGGCTTGAAGCTGGTTCTAACATAAATTATTTCTGATCTATATAAAGAAACAACAAATACTGATATGGCAGGAGATACACACCAAACAGTTCGAAACAGATTTACTAAGTATTGCGCAACAGCAAAGTATTGCAGTCAACAGCAAGAAATCTTCAATTGAAAATAAATACAAATCTTTTAACTAATTTCAATGAGGATTAATTTAAAGTCTTGAATTGTTTGAGGTTTTTACCATGTATTACTATGTTGGATATTTGGACATTTTTGAATAGGTCTACATTGAGGTCCAAAGGGTCCAAAATTAGATTTTGTTTGATTTCATCAAAAACTGAAATCTGGTGCTTCTATGATATGCTGAATCTAACTGTGCATTCAGATTTTTAATTTTTGGGCCCTGTTTTCAAATTAGTCCATATATATTAAGGTCCAAAGGGTCCAAAATTAAACTTTGTTTGAATTCATGTTTTATTTTTTTTATATGCTGAATCTAACCATGGAATTAGATTTTTGATATTGAACCATTAAGTAGATTAAATGTCCCGTTTCAAATTTTTAAGTTATCTGACTACATTTATTCTGTGTCAGAAATCTATAATGTGTCAAATATTTAATCACTATCCAAATTCAGAGCTGTATCAAGCTTGAATATTGTTTTTTTTTTTTTTAATGGGGGGGGGGGGGGGGGGGGGGGGTCAATTCGCAACAGCATAGTGTATTGCACAAAAGCAAAAAAAAGGGGGGGGTAATTTTTTTTTTTGGGGGGAGGGGGGTCAATTGGCAACAGCAAAGTGTATTGCACAAAAGCAAAAAATAGAATATAAATTCAAATCATATAACCAATTCTAAGTTCTTTGACTACAGTTATTCTGTGTCAGAAACCTATTTATAATGTGTCAAATATTTAATTACAATCCAAATTCAGACCTGAATCAAGCGAATATTGTGTCCATTTTTGCCCCAACTGTTCAGGGTTGGACCTCTGCGGTCGTATCCAGCTGTATCGGCGAAGCAATTTATTGAGTTATAGTCAGAAAATTTGAAAATACCGCATTTTTTATGAATAAAATCCCATAACTCGGAAACGTAAAATTCTATAATTTATAAAAATCAAAAGGGAGCTTACGTCAATAGATATAAACAATTCACTACAAGTTTCATGAAAATTGGTGAAAGCATTTTTGATTTATTGTCCGACCTGTTGATGACGGATGGATGGACAAACGGATAACGGTATACCATAATATGTCCCATAAATGGGCTACTAAAATTGCAACAGAATCAGGTTCACAATATTTGAGGTGCTTGGGATAGAAATCGACCATGCAAATGAATATCATTACATCTGTTGACTTATTTGGGGTTGAAAAAATCTCTACAGAAAGTCTGTAACTGTTTGAAAATTGACTTGTTTTAAGAACCCTACAAAACAAACCAAAATTCATCTTTTATTTCGTATTTGAATGTTCCAAAATCTATCAAAGTCTTATACATGTACATGTATACGTAAACTTGCATAAGGTCAGGTCGATTTCTATCCGACGAGTCTCATTTATTAAAAACTTCCATTTATGATTTCAGTAGTGATTTCCTTCATAAAATTTTTGCAATCGCATTTATTAGATTTATTTTCGTAATTTTGCTAGAGGTCAAGGATTCGCAATAATAAATGCACACATTAATTTCTGAATTTACACTCTAAGTTAGACTTCAGGTTGGGTTAGTTTATTTTACAAAAGAATTAAAAAAAAAGTTAGATGAATATGTAAATTATATAGATATTATTTGTCAGAGAAAATTAAAAATTGTAGAGTTATCACTTTCCGTTCTCTGCCAAAAATAAAGCCTAAGTATAAATAGAATGAAAAAATATCTATTTTAAATTTAAAAATGAACCTAATGTTTTAATATGCCCGAATTTTAAAACCTGTGATATTTTGTCAATTTTAAAATGATTTTAGGTCAACAAAATTTTACCAAAAATTGATTTATTGACAATGAATTTTACAAGGATTATGAATTATTGATAAAATGTGTCAAGTTTTATCTATCTTCTTGTTCTGGCGATATAATCCAATCAGAAATATATTCTGATTAATAGGGAAATATTGGAAAAGATATATTTCATTTTATAATTTTTGTTGATAGTTGTAAAATTTATGCATAATCCTTGTATATTTCTTTCTGGGAAAGTGTCTGTTCCAAGATAGTAATTTGACATTGTCAAATAATCTCTTCAAGTGAAATTCTTCTACCGGTATTTTGTCAGTGATTTGGATTTTAAATTTTCAAAAGTGGATTTTTTGTTATTTGTTAATTTTTCTGCAAACTAACTGGATTATTTCATTATGTTTACTATATTACATTCTCTAGGTTCAATGGATTTGGTAAGGAACTTTGTTATAGTTATTTTTTTCATATTATTATTTTATTTCTTCAGGAAAATGTACACTTAATACAGAAGCTATGATAAGGTCCTTATCAAGGAGGCTGTCAATATAGTCAAACATTGAATACAAATGCAAACTCTGGTACTAATATGCAGGATAAATTAAAAGTACTGTAATACTGTTTCCTGCCTTTGTAGATAGACTGATAAAATTTATTATCAGCTTATAAGAAAGGATAAAAACCTTGCAGTATAAGTAATGGAGACAAAAATCAAACCTTTTCTTGATAATATGCATTCTCAAAACTTGTTATGGATGGTGAAATGCAATATTTACTAGTACATGTACTGTATGATACAGATCTTTCAATTTCTTTTTGCAGAATGTAACACTTTGCTAACCATAGAATTTTCTTAGAATACAGGTGTCATATATAATGAACTGTCAGATCAACACACATGAAAAGAACAATATCATTCTAAGAACAAAGCAACAAAACTTTTGTTTTTGCAGTTTTGGCTTGGTTTATATGCAGAAAATCTGTTTCTTGTCAGTACTTGCTTGTTAAAAATATGTTTTCATTGTTTCAGGATGCTGTGAAGATGAATCAGCTGCAGAATTTGCTGCATGATGCACTGATTTCTACCGATCATGTGCAACACTGCGCCATCATCAGACGGAAAGACTGCAACATCAGAGCTAGTTCTGTAGGATTTAATGTAAGTAATTGTCATGGTCCATACTATCAAAGACCATGTGCACCGTGTATCATCGGTACAGCGGATAAAAGTACTAACCAAGTGGGCGTGATCGATTTTGACCTGACACAGTAACAAAATCTTTGTTTTGTTTACATAATATCAATGTCTACTTCAATCTAAACATAATTGTTGTTTTAAGAAATGATTTGGTCGTAGGTTGAGGATTAGAGAAGTCTCATTATTTTCCCAAATCAAGAACGCTTACTAAAAACATGTGCAAATACTTGTCAAAGAAGTTGGCACTCGTCTCAACCGATATGATTCTATATTCATTGCAACTCTTTTTCTGATAGAAAGCAACTGTGTGCGCGTAATCAGTATAGCTGTTTCAATAATTGGCATTGAAATCTTTCAAACATATGTTATTTTTCGATATTTTATTCCGAAAAGAAGCGTTGTGTACGGTGTAGAGCTGACCCCACAAATCCTTATGTACGGTGCATAGTTAAGTGAATGTACGGTATATAGCTTTTTTAAGGTAAAAATCGATCACGCCCTGCTTGGTTAGTACCTATATCTGCTGTATGAGGGTCTTGATGGGGTTTACGGAATAGAGAAAAATGGACAAATACTACAGAAAACTGGGCAAAAAAAAAAATTAGATAAAAATGGGCAAAAAAAAATAAAGAATAGAGATTAACTGGATTTTAAAATATAAGGAATAGAGAATAATTGGTAAAATATATAAAGAATAGAGAAAAAGGCCTAAACATTTTAAAGAATACAGAAATGAAGGACCCCATCCAGACCCTCCTGTATAATCAGAGTTAGTTGTACATAAACTACATATATCTTTTATTTGGAAGTATTACCCAAAACATGGTCGCATTGAATTTTAACATGTTTTTTACTTAAACATTCAGATTTTTATTTAAGTAACTGTAATTTTGATTTTTATAATTTCTTCTGAATTACAATAAAAAATGGCCACATCCATATGATTTCTAAAATTTGGCATTTTTTGAAGAACAAATTTCTTGTGACAGAATTTTTAATTAATCTCTGGAAATTATTTGTAGATGGTCCCAAAATATCCTGCAGGAAGTTAATGCTTTTAATAGATTTTTTTTTATCATTTTTACCCATTTCTAAGCCTTTTTCATTTTTTGTTTTCAAACAATGTATAATTGCTGACATTTTTGTGGAAATGCCTGTACCAAGTCAGGAAAATAACAGTTGTTTTCCATTCTCTTGATGTGTTTGAGCTTTTGATTTTACCATTTGATAAGGAACTTTCGAATTTTCCGTGGAGTTCGGTATTTTTGTAATTTTACCTTTTTATTATTGTGAACATTGTGATTTCTTATATTTTTAGCTTCATCAAGAACAAGTACAAATTTTACTAGATGCTTTTAAAAATCCCCCACAGACAAGAGAAGAAGGGATTTACTTTGACGACAGACAGTACAAATGTGTCCGAGCAGACAAAAACTCCATATATGGTAAATGTGTAAGTATGTGTCAGAGCAGACAAAAACTCCATAAATGGTAAATGTGTAAGTATGAGTCAGAGCATACAAAAACTCCATATATGGCAAATGTGTAAGTATGAGTCAGAGCAGACAAAAACTCCATATATGGCAAATGTGTAAGTATGAGTCAGAGCAGACAAAAACTCCATATATGGTAAATGTGTAAGTATGTGTCAGAGCAGACTAAAAGCTCCATATATGGTAAATGTGTAAGTATGAGTCAGAGCAGACAAAAAATCCATGTATGGTAAATGTGTAAGTATGAGTCAGAGCAGACAAAAACTCCATATATGGTAAATGTTTAAGTATGTGTAAGCATTTGAAATCAGAGATAAGTAACTTGGTATAATGAAGGAAACCTCTTCAAACGGAACAATGTTTTAAGTTTAACCTCCTCTTGGTAATAGTTAATTACATTCTGGTATGCCAGAAATAAAGAGCTGTAACTTAGAAATGAGTGTAATGATTTTATTATTGCGAGAAATATGGCAAGATTAGTAAAAAAAATGTTTGATCTGGCATTTATATTTTTGATTGAAGAATTTATACATTCACGTATTATAGGATAGATCCAGTATTGCAGTTGGTATTGATATTTATGTTTGTCATATAGCACCTGTCTTGGCTGTATGTTGGTCTCAATGTGTTGTTGGGTTGATATATACCTCCTTATACTCCCTTCTGAATGTAATATTTAGTAATTCATGTTAACTGAATAATTTTATAGAAGTTTGCACCATCTTTTTATATATTTCAGGATAAAAGAGGACTTATTTTAGTTAGAACACAGTCTATGTTGCTAATATCAACTTACTCAGAGAATATGTTTCCTAGTGTTTGTGTAGAGGCTGTAGAAAAATTAGGTTTGTATTTATAGAATTAGCTTATCAGATAGTTCCAAATGTAGAGATTATGTTGAGAGATATAGAGAGTAATTTCAAGGGGAAACATCCACAACCCCCAATATTCACTGGAAACCTCATCAAAAATTATTTTTAATTGAATTAAATTGTGTAAACTATAATTTCATTTGTAGTATCTCGGATTGTCTTACTGCAAATTCAGAAATTTATCTGTGCAAATATTATTCATAAATGCAAATCTTTGAACAATGGCAAAAATGCAAAATCTAATTTATGTGATTGCAAAAATTTTATGCAATACAATCATTACTGGAATTATGAATGCATGTTTTTATCATTGCTAACCTGGTACTGTTGCATTTTTTCGCATTAATGAAAATATCGCAATAATTTCTGAGTATACTGTATTTGATTAACAGTAATAACTAATTTATATAGTTTCTGTCAATTGAGCACAACAAGTTTTTCTTGGTATCTAGTTTCAATTCATATGTAATTTGTGATACTTTTTTGAATGATACATTATAAATATGAAAACAGGAATCATAAAAAATACTAGAAAGTGCAAATAACCGCAACCACCAACACCCGATTCCTCCGAAAAACATTATAACAAAGACAGATAACAGCAAACAACAGCTAATGGCAAGAGTATCATCTTTCTCATGTCAAAATTAGGTTAATTTTCATTTTTTAAGCTGTTTAATTATTATTTAAGACACATTAAGCCAGATAGCGGACAAGACAAGATTAAAAATTAGGAGAAGTTGTTTGGTTGCCTATGAGACAACTGTCAAACAGAGTCCAGTTAGTTTTCTCATTGGCAATCATAACACATCTCCTTATTTTTATATTTATTCTAAATGACATAGATGTAAGCAACTATAGGTCACTGTATGGCCTTCAACAATGAGCAAACCCATACAGTATAGGCAACTATAAAAGACCCTGACATGACAAAATGTGAAACAATTCAAATGAAAAAATACAAAAGCCTGATTTATGACAAAATAATAAAAGAAAAAAACCAAATTTGACAAACATCAACCAACGATAACCACTGAATAACTCTTGACTTGGGACGGGCACAATGAGAAAAAAAATTAGATTGAATTATAGAATGTGGCAGGGTTAACCACATGTTATAACCTATGTTATTATATCAATATATTTGTTTAATTTACAGCTGATTATTTTAAGGAGAAGGGGAAGTGAGAACCATAAATGATAGTCTGTGTATGGTGCAATATGGAAATTGACCTATCAGTATCAGTACTTCCATAAAGATTTGTAAAGAAGATACGAAGATTGTTAAAACTGCTGATAATATTGAGAGAAAATAACTGTTCATGATCATTCCGTCCATTGATATAAATTGTGATATTGTTATTAAATTTATATGTATTTTTTTATCAAATGATATATTGGTTCAAATTTACCTTTTCTTGTGTTTCATGATTCATCTATCCAAACACTGAAACAGCATGGATGAAATATAGAATATAATGGCAACAAAGTTTAGAAAGTGAACCTTCTTCAGTTATTTTTCAAGAGTAGAATTGGGGTATATGTTAATAAGACAGTAACCCAACAATGTAATAAATGCTTTAAAGACTTATAGAAGTCTAATAGTTTTCCACAATAGTCATATGACAATTCTATATGTCAGTCTTTAAATTGCAGTTACTCTGGACAGGTTATGATGTGTAAATCATCACAACTGCCAAACAAAGGTGTAATACCAAATTGCTTAAAGAAACAAAAAAGAGAGTTGCGTCACGAATTATACTGTAAACGAATTTTAATGATTTTTGTGAGTAGAAAAATAACATGAATATGTAAAACTTGGATCTTCACTTATATAAATACATCAAGAAAATAACAAAATCACGAAAATTAATTGCAGCGAAGCTACCTAGAAAGGGCTAAAAGCACAAATAAGGTGTGGGCGAAATAAGTTTTTATGCCCCTGCCATAGCGGAGGGGGCATTAAGTGTTGCCCTTGTCCGTCTGTCTATCCCGTCCGTCCCCAAAATTGGTTTCCATCCCCTAACTTTAGTTTGCCTCAACCAAATGTTATGAAACTTATACACAATGCTTATTACCACAAAACACAGATCAAGTTCGAAATTGGGTGGCGTCACTTTTACCGTTCATGAGTTATGCCCCTTTTATAAACAAAAATTGCTGAATTTTTCGTTTCAGTTCTCATAACTTTAGTTTGCCTCAATCAAATGTTATAAAACTTATACACAAAGCTTATTACCACAAAACACAGATCAAGTTCTAAATTGGGTGGCATCACTAAATCTATCGTTTCTGTTCTCTTACTCTATTTTGCCTCAACCAAATGTTATGCAACTTATACACAATGCTTATAATCATAATAAAATCTTATTAACATGAATCCTGCATGCATCTGTATGTGGAAGTTGACTCATGCATATTTACAAGCGGAGGCATCTGTTGCCCAAAGACACATTCTCCATTTATTTCTAGTCTAGATTTATTTTTGTCTGTAAACTTGAAAACTATGATAGATTAAAATTACAAAAATGATCAGATCTACAAATCAGTCAACATGGCCGAAATTGTTGGTCGACTGCTTATGGGCAGCTTTTGGTGTTTTTGCTTATCTTGAAAGCTACCATAGATAAAGAAAAACTTGAAATAGCAAAAATTGAGTTATTGCCCATCAGTCACGCTTTTTACCAATTTTTGCAAAATTAGTCAACTCCTTATTAGTTATTGCCCTTTAACAATGGTTTTTACCCAAGGTTTTAATTCTGTGCAAAAACTATAATAGATAGATAGAAACTGTTAACAGTCAAAATTATTAGAAAGGCAAGATCTACAGATCAACCAACATTGTTGACATTATCAGTTGACTCCTTAAGAGTATTTGCCATTAAATGATGATTTTTTTTTTACCTTTTATGGGTAAAATAGATAGAAAATGAAGAGAAACTGCGAACAGCAAACATGACCAGCAAGATCTACAAATAGGTCAACAAAGTCGAAATTTAGGTACACTTTTTGTAAAAGTTATTGCCCTTGAATGATGATATTTCCCTTTTTATATTTTGGGCAAAAGCAAAGGTACAGAGAAACTGAAACTCCCAATGATGAAAGTTTGAGATTTGAGCTTAACCCCAACACATGTTCATGTAGCTGTCCGAAGTAAGGAGTCTCATCAGTGCTTGAGATTTGAGCTTAAACCCACCACATGTTCATGTAGCTTTCCAAAGTAAGGAGTCTCATCAGTGTTTGTGATTTTAGATTAACCCCACCACATGTTCATGAAGCTGTCCGAAGTAAGGAGTCTCATCAGTGCTTGAGATTTGAGCTTTACCCAACAACATATTTTTGTAGCTGTCCGAAGTAAGAAATCTCACCAGTGCTTGAGATTTGAGCTTTACCACACAACATATTTATGTAGCTTTTTGTCTGAAGTAAGGAGTCTCATCAGTGTTTGAGATTTGAGCTTTACCCAACAACATATTTATGTAGCTGTCTGAAGTAAGGAGTCTCATCAGTGCTTGAGATTTGAGCTTTACCCCACAACATATCTATGTAGCTGTCTGAAGTAAGAAATCTCATCAGTGTTTGAGATTTGAGCTTAACTCCACAACATATTTATGTAGCTTTTTGTCTGAAGTAAGGAGTCTCATCAGTGTTTGAGATTTGAGCTTTACCCAACAACATATTTATGTAGCTGTCCGAAGTAAGAAATCACATCAGTGCTTGAGATTTGAGCTTTACCCCACAAAATATCTATGTAGCTGTCTGAAGTAAGAAATCTCATCAGTGTTTGAGATTTGAGCTTTACCCCACAACATACTTATGTAGCTGTCCGAAGTAAGAAATCACATCAGTGCTTGACTTAAGTTATACATAGTGTGTTTTGTCATGTTAGGAATCAGATGTTGATGGTAGATCTTTACCACATTTTGTCTCTGTAAAATTTACACTACTTTTCTAGACTTGTGTTTTTAGAGGTTGACAAACTGTAAAGACACATGTCTTATGTTAAAGAAATCTATATTTTATCTTTTTAAGTGTCATTGGGTTGCTGTCTCGTTGATGTGTACCTCACATCTCCTGAACTAGAGGCCCTAAAGAGCCTGAATCGCTCACCTGATTTAAGTGCACCCCAATTATGGCCACGCTCTAACATTGTAGACTTCTCTTTTTACTTGATCTTGTATTGCTGATATTTTTTTTCTGTTTAGTTTGTCTCTATGCTATAGTTTTGCGAAAAACACAAAAATGCGAAACAAATCACTATTCAAGAGTAGTAACTCCTAAGTGGACGACAATTTTGGTAGTTTTAACATATTTTTTTATTCAGAAACTAAAGAAACAGATGAGACACCAGTTAACATGTCAGTAATGTCTTCTCCGGAAGACAATTTTGGCTTCGTTGACCAATTTGTTGATATTTTTTACTTTTTACAGTTTCTTTCTTCTATAGCTTTTGGCCAACACACGAAAAAGGTGTTAGAATAATTGTCAGTTAAAGACAACAACTCTTGTAAGGAGTAGTTTGACGATTTCGGCAGTTTGACTGGTTTGATATTGTCACACTGATCATTTTTAAAAGCTTCTCTCTATCTAATGTAATTTTAAGATAATAGGTAAAAATAAAAAAAAAATCGTTATTTAAGGGCAATAACTCTCCTACAAGGAGTACTCAGACGATTTCGGCCATTTGGCTTATTTGAATATGTTTTGTTTTGCTGATAATTTATGCTATTTAAAGTTTTTCTTTGTCTATTTTAGTTTCCAAGATAAAAAGCTAGAAATGGTAAAAAAAATTTAAGATTATTAACTCCCATAAAAAAAATCGTCTCACAATTTTGATGTAGTTGGACAGTAGGTAGATCTCAACATTCTAAACATTTTTGCCTTCATCAGATTTTTTTCTATCTATAGCGGTTTTCAGGATAATAGGCAAGACTTGAATTTTACACGCATGTTCTATATTTAGCTTTTCATCGGACACTTTTTTTTAAACTGCATGTAGATGGTTCCAATTGGCTAAGTATTTATAGGAGAACATTTTTGTAAAAGTTAACGGACGACGGACGCCTAATAGTGATATAAAAAAATACACAATACCCTAAATATTATCCGTTTTTCATGATAACTGTCAAAATGTCTCAAATGAAAGTTATTGCAACTAATTCATGGTTTTCTAAAATATCAGCAACCGCAACCCCAATGTCTTCAAATGGATTCTTACCAATAAAATGTCTCAGAAATGCTCAGAATGGAAGATTTTCCCAGAATAACTATTTAGTTTTTTGGGTGTCGCTGTCCCTGATTTTTGTCATCTTTTTTCGATCTCCACCAAAACAAAAACAAAACAAGTCTTGTTACGTACGATTTTGCTATTACTGTTATACCATTTGACCAACGGTTTGAAATATAAATCAGTTCTCTAAATTGAAATAAACTGTGTCGTGAAATCGGAGAAAGATATCGATATTTGGTGCCGCAACCAATTGACTCCTTAAAAGATGAATAACAGATGTTGGGTTAACGTCAATGAGACATTACCCCAACAATAAAGAAAAGGAAAATTCAAAACATTTTTTTTTTTCGATTAAAGTGTAAAACGCCTACCAAAATTTGTATCAAACCTGATTTAAATTTATGCACGAAGTGTGTATTCTGTAAAAAAAAAAAAAATTCTTAAAATAATCTTTATCGGATGACCATGATCAAATATTCAGAAAGCCAAAAATATAAGTAATTTTTGAGCCAACATACATAAAATCAAATCGACTGAAACAGAGCTGCCAAAATGTTCTACTAGTTTTAGAAAAATACTTTCATTTTGACTGTAAAAGGATTTAAAAACAGTCATTCTAAACGATGTGTTATATATTTCCGCTTTAGAATTCATTTATAGAATACGTTGTAATTGGTGTGTGCATTTGTGTATTGATCTGAAATCAAAATGGCGAAGTGTACATGTTAAATGCAGGTAAATATAATGATTTTTTTTTTATCTATATGATTCAAAGGAGATATAGCGTCACAGCATCAAAAAGGCACGTTGTGTAGTGGATTGTTATTTTTATTTATTTTGTTTGTTTGTGTTTTATTTTTTAACCTTTTTTTCATTCACATCACCTAATCTTTTCTTGCGGTCATGCCCCCTACAAGGGCGCTGCCCTTAACCCGCGTTGGACTAACCTGTCCCCAACCCTCTCGCCTTTGATGATCCGTTGCCGTTTTATCAATAGGCATTCAAATATTATCGACCTGAACAAGCACATATATAGCTGTTTTTTTTTATCTATGTAAAAAAAGAGATGTTGCACATACGCTCTTTCGTGTCTACAAGTTTTGTCCATCTGTTTTCCTATTAATAAAACTTATTAGGTGAATAAAATTCCTTCATCTTTATGCAACGATTGATATACCAGAATAAACGAAGAGTGTCAGAAAGGAAAATTATGTTCATATATGTATTTGAAATAAAGAAAGATAGAAGATAACAGACGCCTTAGCAATTTAGGTAGTATGGGAGTTAGTATTTCGCCGTCTTGGATCGCAAATGGTAACACATAGTTGGTCCAAATATTTATTTGTTTATTAGCTTTTATATGAATAAAATAATTCAAGCTTTGTCCTATTGGAATACCCGTATTATTTTGGGAAATACAAACCTGCTTGTAAGAATGTAAAAACTATTTTTTGTTATGTAGCAAGGAAATAGAAAGAAAATATTCCGGTCATTCTTTTTTATTTATTTTTTTTCTTTTTCTGAAAGCATTTGATAAGCTCTATCTTCTCATATATATTTCAAAAATTTATATCTAAGTTATGTTGTCAGTCACGTGTTTTTGTTTTTATTTTTTTCATAATCCGAATAAAGTCTGATAAATTGATAAATACTTATTTAACATCCAGTGACAAATATTTCATTCATACCCAGAACGAGAAGAAACTAACAATATATACAAAAGTTGAAAATTTTATATTCTCTATCTTGGACACACCACTCAGTGTATTGTCATTGTATGTAAGGCATTTGTCCAGAATGATATTACCAACGATCAGACTTTGTACAAAAACTCCAAAACAAAAAAACATGGCGGGATCTATCTGTTTAGAATTTTCATATGAATATTAAAATTTGTGTATTGCTTTAGCTTTATTTGACCTCGACAAAATGCAAAATATTGAGAATGGACCGCTCCCTCTACCGGATGGAAAGGACTACCATGTCTTCTTTTCATACAGAAATACGGATGAAGATACAGAATGGACAAGAAATGTAATAAGGGAATTAGAGACCAGAGGCTTCAAGTGTTGTGATCACGAACTTGAATTCCTTCCTGGTAAAGGTACTGTTGAAAACATTAAAGATTACATGAGACGCTCCGTGAAAATTGTACATGTGTTATCTAAGGAATATACAGACAGTTATTATTGTAAACTGGAAGTCCATTTCTCTCTCTATATGTCGCTTAGCGAACGAAAACATATATTAATTCCAGTAAAAAGAGAAGACTGTGACATTCCGGAAGATTTTGAATTTTTTACATGGATTGATGCCAGAGGAGATGCAATGCATTGGTTTCCTCAGCTAGTTGCTGCCATTAAGGCTCCAGGTAAAAGTTTTCTTTAAATATAGCATGATCAAAACACCGTAAGCTCAATAATGAAAATAAGCATTTTTGTCATATTCTACAACCATGGTAATCGTCATTATTTGAAACATGATATGATACGAAGTGGGAAGCTACGGTTATAGCCTCTTTTTTGGCTTATAGACGGTTTAACATGGTGGTTTTTTCATGATTTTTCGGTAACATACACGGGTTTGATGTGTAGGAAAAATACAATTGTTATATAATTAAAGTTGAATTGGAAAGGAAATATATATCAAAATGAGAATATATACAAGAAACCAAACGCTGAATCATAAAATGACATTTTGGAAGAAGGTCATTTCCCGAAAACTCAGCAAATTCCGTATAAATTCAGTTTTGTTTTTACAAGTGCTCACTAATAAAATTTGAACGAGTCTCTATTTTTAGTAACAGTACAAGATAGATATGAGTCATATTTTCAAACACTATAAACCTTTAGTTGCAACGGGGTGTAATAATGAGAGTACTTTCAATGGTATTTATGAACGCGATGTAAATGCATTTCTTATAATTATCCTTCATGTTTTTTCAGTAAATGCAGGTTTTACACAACCATTCTTACAGGTTCACAGTAAGTATACTCTTCTTTAAATTATTTAAAGATTTAATCATTTTTTTCTTTTAATTTTCAATTACAATGTAAAATGTCTGAACAAACCCTTTGTTAAATAATTTTGGGTATATGTATGAATAAAGATCATTTCAGATACTAGTATATTTTGTGGGTAAATCGGATGAATTGCTTTATTTTTAGTGATTATTTTTATTGATACACAAAGCACATATTCTTGTACATGAATAAATAGAGATGACGGGTATACGTCAAAAGGACAACAAATATTCCCAAAAGGACGTCTAGAGAGCAACAAACAGTCTTCAATAATAGACAGATTAATAACTTTATGTCCAGCGCTTAATCGTCTAGACTATATATATGCAAGTTGTGAATAAATTTAACTTGAATACATGTAGTCAAATACAGAAGTGCCAAGGAAACACGTGACTTTTCTAAAAAAAATAGGTCATAATGATTTCAAAGATATTATCATTATTACTTTTATTATTATAAATTGCATTAATGCAACAAATGAAACGGTAGATATTGAAAGTACTATTGTATTTAAAAATTGGTCAAAAAAAAAATCCGAGCACCTTTCAATTTTCAAGTAATGTTATTGTTTATTTTTAGAATACGAAAATTTTGACACAATTTTCCAAGAAACAAGTACCAACTCGTGTTGTGGAGAGGCATTTCAAACTCGATATATCCCTGATTATCTCAGAAGAAGTGGCATAGATGTAATATATTATAAATTAAGTTAATCGTCCACTTTCAGCACAATTCTTTCGTGCCTATTTTCAATCCATATTTAATCAGAAATACAAAATAAATCATTCGTTTTCATGGGCGAATCCAGGATTTTTGAAAGGAGGGGCATTATTCCCGTAAACGCCCCTCCTTTCTTCTACACCCCCTGGCAACTGGTGTTTATTAATTGATACGTTTGGAAGATTGTCCAGAAATAAACTTTTGTTGTTAAACCACAGCACACCTTATGTGTTTATAGAGCTGCAATTAAAAGTTGGCAAACACGACAACACTGCAAAATATGACTGCCAAAATGAAGTTTCTAAATCAAAAGGGTTTGCTGTTTGATGATTACAAGGGTTTGGCGTTAAGGAAGTTCGCTACTCTGTTTTAAAATAACAAGCTTTTTAAAAGACTGTTATAGATTGATAGAATATAAATAAGGGAACTTAAAATTTAGATAAAAATAAAGGGTCCATGTTCTAGTTTTTGAGATATAATCATTAGAAAATTTGGCGGGAAATAGTTCTCTCTAGCTTTTCATACATTTAACACTGACACCTTTTTCCTTTCAAAAACTATGAAAAATAACAAGGATTTTATAGAGTTTTCAAAAATGACTTTTAAAACTATATGCAATAAAATTCTGAAAAGAAAAGTAGGGGTTAGTGGGCAAAATTTTTATTGGCAGTACATGGATAAAACTAGAGGATTCAGAATATCTGACAAAAAGTCAAAAACAAGAGTAGCGAACATCCTTAAAGGAGGATGGTAAAGGGGGGCTCTGAACACGGAAACACGTGAAATAAAAATCGCAAAAACGTTGCACGGAAAATAAAAATCGGGAAAAACGAAGCACGAGAAATAAAATCGTAAATATTAAGGAAAAAAGTACTAGAAGTTATTACTCAGCCGTTCTTGGAGATCATGAAGTCATTATTAATGGACATGAAGACCCTGCGGTCACCTTTTAGCGTCTGCTAGTTGAATCTGATTTGAAAAAAATATTATTCATAGTAAAACAATATTCGGGCTGACTTTGAATTAGTCCCGCTTTACTTTTAATCAAATGTGGGACAAGCACGAACAATTAAGAGTACCGACACGAAACACGGAAAATAAATAAGGGGAAACACGAAGCTCGCACATCGAACCAAACACGAGAATACGAGAAATAAAACGTCAAAACACGAAAACACGTGAAATAAAAAGAGCGAAACGTTGCACGAAAATAACCCTTTACCACCCTCCTTAAAGGATCAGAAGGGTTCTCCGTTTCAAAATCAAAAAGGTTTAATGAAATGTTTGTTGTGCGTACATCAACATGAAAATAACATCAGGTCATTGTTGGAATGTCAATTGCATAGACTTTGTTGTGTGGCCCCAGTCACATTTTTTTTATGGTGTACGCCTTTTAAAAGATTACCTACATTGTATTGTTTATGAAAGGGTAAATTGACAATATAATATCAGTTTAGATGGATTGAAATCTTGCGTAAAACTAGATTTAAATAAAAGAAAATACAAAACATACAAACCATACATACACACAAAAACAGTCGAACCTCAAAGGATCTGAAGTATAGACAAATCCGGACAAGGAATCAGAGTATTGCATGCATGAGGGAGATATATTTCTTAATTCAAAAGGATTTCCAAAACTTTATAACAGCACATTTCAATCAAATCAATATAATGTTGATTGTATTTTCCTGCCAGTACCGAAGTACTGGTACTGGGCTGATGTACTCTGGGGGAGTAACGTTATAAACAGTCAGAACGTCCGAAACTGTGACAGTCCTATATAACGCAACACTCGTGAATAAGTCCATAGAACACTATGTAATACCAGGGTCCCACGGGGTCCCTTTTTGGATGAAATTATTTGTTTTTTTTATTTGATATGCTTTCTTCAAATATTCACACAGTCCCTCCCATTTTGGCAATTGTTTCAATGTGACCTTTTGCCTATTCCAAACTCTAGCCCCTTTTTTGAAAAACTTTGGAACCGCCATTGACAACTCCTTCATTTACAGAATTTCTTAATAGTATTGAACTTTTTTTGTTTATCTTTACAGTTTAACCCAGAGGTTTTCACCAAGCGCATTGCAGAAATGACACCCAACAGACTTATCAAGCAAAGAATGTTTATAAATCCTTGGTGGCCAACGTGTGTTATACTATATTTCGTACTTCCAGAATTCCTGATAGGCGGATTTGGGATGATACTTGCTGATCCCGAAGACAAAGAAATGATGTTTATAGGCATATTGTGTCTTGTTCTGTTTGCTATATTCGGCATAGCATGGCCGTGTTATTGTATTTTTGCAAGTTGGAAGGTAACTTTTTTTTTATGAACACCAAAAAAAGCGAAAATTGCTCCCCTGTCTGAAAAAGTCTAAGTAAACTGATTGTTATTTATGTTAGGCTGAAGTTGCACATTGCTTTGATTGTTGTCTACTTGCTGGTAGAATTTTGGTGGAACGAGGGGGGACAAATATTTCAAATAATATTTCCGAAATGGAGAAATAAGATTTTTTTGCGGAAAATTGAACTCTAGTCATAAGTATTTAAACGGGGAGGGTTGATCGCTCACAAACATGTTTAACCCCGCCACATTCTTTATGTGCCTGTCCCAAGTCAGGAGCCTGTAGTTCACTGGTTGTCGTTGGTTCATGTCTGTCATATTTGTTTTTCGTAAATTGTTTTGTTTTAAATTAGGCCGTTAGTTTTCTCAATTGATTTGTTTCATATTTTTCATGTCGGGGCATTTTATAGCCGACCATACGGTATGGGTTTGTTCTCATTGTTGAAGGCCGTACGGTTGCCTATAATTGCTTACGTCAACTTCATTTGAACTTTGGTGGATAGTTGTCTCATTGGCAATCATACCACATCTCCTTATTTTTATATATACTGCCGTGTAGTTTGCATAATAACATAATTTAACCAGCATGACCAGCCGAGTATATAATTTCGATTTATTAACCAGTTTAGTGCATTATGTATCAAACTATCCCTTTATTATTAAAACAAAACTGGTCCATTACAGACTAACAGGGCATTAATACAGGGCCATCATCAATAAATAGGGCTATTATGAATAAACAGGGCCATTATGAAAAAAACAGGGCCGTTATGAATAATCAGGGCTATTACGGATTTTCAGTTGTTATCAATTCAAATACATTTCTGTGACAAAGAAACATCAAGAAATCGAAAGTTCCCAGGAATCCCGACTTCTTTTTTGACCCAGTTTTCAAGTTAATAATTACATAGTACATTTTATCTATCAATTTATTTAATTTTGAGTTTTAAATTCCAGAATGAAATTTTGTTTTTCGTATGCCATAAATTGCTTTGAATAGGACAACAATAAAACTACATTTACATTTATATGTTATTCCATCACATCACTTTAAAAGTTTCTTTTTGATATTGCATTTGGTATTATCATATATATATACAATTTCTCAACAACAAAAAACTGATTTGGTTTGGTTAAATATTACACATTGACGGTTTGGTTAATAAAAGTTTTAAGAAATGGGTGTTTTCGAATTGACCTGGATTACCCAGGAGGCTGTAATGTCCCTCGGCGTTGCCTCGTGCCATTACAGACATCCTCGACCATTATAACTTTCGTCTGTTGTCAGCGAACGGTTATGTTCAAATGAACTGGATTTCCTTTAAAAAGGCGTTTAAATAATTCTATAATTACAGATCAATTTGGGGTCCTCATCGCGGTCCGAGTTTTAGTAAAAGTAATAATTTATTGGCAAACTAAACCCATATGACTGAGTCAAGCCAAAAAAAAAACCAAACAAAATATTACACGTCAATATAACTAAATATTAACAAAACATTCAAGAATTACAAGTTTACCACAATTTCGTCCTCTTTTCCTCGAATGTGACCTACTGAATTAGACTTATCACCGGATGTTTACTAACATGAGCAACACGACGGGTGCCACATGTGGAGCAGAATCTGCTAATTCTTCCGGAGCACCTGAGATCAACCCCAGTTTTTGGTGGAGTTCCTGTTGCTCAATCTTTAGTTTTCTTTGTTGTGTTTTGTGTACTGTTTGTCGTTTTCATTTTTTGCCGTGGAGTTGTCAGTTTGTTTTCGACTTATTAGTTTGAATATCCCTTTGATATCTTTCGCCTCTCTTTAAAGATAAAAAACATAGTAATGTAAATATAACTTTTGATAGACATCATGTCGATTTCATTCAAAAACAACTTCAACGATTTGGATGAAAAAAAAACTATACGTTTAAATCCAATGTTAAATTGCAGGATACACACAATATTAGTTTAGTGTAGGAAAATAAGCTCGCTTTCTCTCTGTTTCTAAAAACAATTTATATGTTCCAACACTGTACGAATAATTATATTGTATACATTTTAAGCTTTTCGTTTGTTTTTCAATGCATTATTTTAACATTGTCACGGATAGCACGTGCAGTCATAGCTGTTGTATTTTATATGGAAATAAAATGAAGGAATTTTAGAATAGGCATTTGTTTCTGCATATCATTAAAATCCGTAAACAATGATACGTGGTATACACGAAAATCAATATATTTCATGCGGTTGCAAACATTCTTGTCAACTTCTCCAAAAAGTTATTCATTGCAATTATTTTATTTCATTTATTTTATTTTTATAGAATTTGGTATTGATGGCAGATCTTTGATATTCAGAAATTCATTAATAAACCGCAGTTTTCTAGACTGAGAGCTTGGTTTAGATCTTGACCTTGTCTGTATTGTCTTTTGTCAAAGTGTTGCTGTTTCATTGACATATACCCCACATCTCATACCTTTTATTTACATTAGAAGTGCCGAAAATACTTTTTGTTTGTTTTTGTTTAATGCTTATTAAAAACATAATTATTTCTTTTTCAGGGAAGAACAGAAATGAAATCGAGTTTGGATGAAATAAACAAAGTACTTATGTTTTATAACATATTCATGACATACAACGTCAGCAGAATGTCAGCAAAAGTTACAGTATCCTTTGTTATTGTAAAAAATAAGGAGATGTGGTATGATTGCCAATGAGAAAAATATCCACCAAAGTTCAAATGATGTGGATTTAAGCAATTATATGCAACCGTACGGCCTTCAACAACGAGAAAAACCCATACCGTATAAATAGTCGGCTATTAAGGCCCCGACGTGAAAAATATGAAACAATTAAATAAAAAAAAAACTAACGGCATAACTTATAACAAATCAATGTACAAAAAACAAATATGACAGACATCAACCAACAACAACTGCTGACCGTACTATGACCTATAATGGTTTACTTTTATAAATTTTGACTTGGATGGAGAGTTGTTTCATTGGCACTCATACCACATCTTCTTATATCTATGAACTACAGGCTCCTGACTGACAGGACAGGAACATAAAGAATGTGTCGGGGTTTAACATGTTTGAATGCGACAACCCTCCCCTGACCTGGGACAGTAGTGTAGCGGCACAACACAAAAACAAAGTATGCAAAGCAATAAACGAAAAAAAAATATCAGAAACAGCAAAAAACGACAACCACTCAATTACAGGCTCCTGACTTGAGACAGTCACATATCGAATGTGGCGGGGTTAAACATATGAAAATAAAGAGACTTGGTATTATTGTCAATGAGAATTGCCAATTAGTTATCCATGGACACTTCATTCACTTTTAGTTTCATAGAATTACTAGTCCTACCAGAATAGCGTGCCTGCTTCGAGGACGTGGAGGCAATCCCCGACTGGTTCAAACCAAAGATTTTAAAACTGATTTCAGCTGCTTCGCCGCAATGCATAGTGTTTACGGTACTTAGATGTAAACAAAATTAAAGATTGGTCGATTCGGACCGAGAAAAATGTTAATTTCTTAGTAAAGTGATTGGTCGATTCGGACCGAGAAAAATGTTAATTTCTTAGTAAAGTGATTGGTCGATTCGGACTGAGAAAAATGTTAATTTCTTAGTAAAGTGATTTGTCGACTCGGAGTGAGAAAATGTTAATTTCTTAGTAAAGTGATTGGTCGATTCGGACTGAGAAAAATGTTAATTTCTTAGTAAAGTGATTGGTCGATTCGGACTGAGAAAAATGTTAATTTCTTAGTAAAGTGATTGGTCGACTCGGAGTGAGAAAATGTTCATTTCTTAGTAAAGTGATTGGTCGATTCGGACTGAGAAAAATGTCAATGTCTTGATAAAGATAAAGTAATTGGTCGATTCGGAGTGAGAAAAATGTTAATTTCTTAGTAAAGTGATTGGTCGATTCGGAGTGAGAAAATGTTAATTTCTTAGTAAAGTGATTGGTCGATTCGGAGTGAGAAAATTGTTGATTTCTTAGTAAAGTGATTGGTCGATTCGGACTGAGAAAAATGTTAATTTCTTAGTAAAGTGATTGGTCGACTCGGAGTGAGAAAATGTTAATTTCTTAGTAAAGTGATTGGTCGATTCGGACTGAGAAAAATGTCAATGTCTTGATAAAGATAAAGTAATTGGTCGATTCGGAGTGAGAAAAATGTTAATTTCTTAGTAAAGTGATTGGTCGATTCGGAGTGAGAAAATGTTAATTTCTTAGTAAAGTGATTGGTCGACTCGGAGTGAGAAAAATGTTAATTTCTTAGTAAAGTGATTGGTCGATTCGGAGTGAGAAAATATTAATTTCTTTGTAAAGTGGTTGATCGATTCGGAGTGAGAAAATATTAATTTCTTTGTAAAGTGATTGATCGATTCGGAGTGAGAAAATATTAATTTCTTTGTTAAGTGATTGGTCGACTCGGAGTGAGAAAATATTAATTTCTTTGTAAAGTGATTGGTCGACTCGGAGTGAGAAAATGTTAATTTCTTAGTAAAGTGATTGGTCCATTCGGAGTGAGAAAAATGTTAATTTTTTAGTTAAGTGATTGGTCGACTCGGAGTGAGAAAAATGTTAATTTCTTTGTAAAGTGATTGGTCGACTCGGAGTGAGAAAAATGTTAATTTCTTAGTAAAGTGATTGGTCGATTCGGAGTGAGAAAATATTAATTTCTTTGTAAAGTGGTTGATCGATTCGGAGTGAGAAAATATTAATTTCTTTGTAAAGTGATTGATCGATTCGGAGTGAGAAAATATTAATTTCTTTGTTAAGTGATTGGTCGACTCGGAGTGAGAAAATATTAATTTCTTTGTAAAGTGATTGGTCGACTCGGAGTGAGAAAATGTTAATTTCTTAGTAAAGTGATTGGTCGATTCGGACTGAGAAAAATGTCAATGTCTTGATAAAGATAAAGTAATTGGTCGATTCGGAGTGAGAAAAATGTTAATTTCTTAGTAAAGTGATTGGTCGATTCGGAGTGAGAAAATGTTAATTTCTTAGTAAAGTGATTGGTCGACTCGGAGTGAGAAAAATGTTAATTTCTTAGTAAAGTGATTGGTCGATTCGGAGTGAGAAAATATTAATTTCTTTGTAAAGTGGTTGATCGATTCGGAGTGAGAAAATATTAATTTCTTTGTAAAGTGATTGATCGATTCGGAGTGAGAAAATATTAATTTCTTTGTTAAGTGATTGGTCGACTCGGAGTGAGAAAATATTAATTTCTTTGTAAAGTGATTGGTCGACTCGGAGTGAGAAAATGTTAATTTCTTAGTAAAGTGATTGGTCCATTCGGAGTGAGAAAAATGTTAATTTTTTAGTTAAGTGATTGGTCGACTCGGAGTGAGAAAAATGTTAATTTCTTTGTAAAGTGATTGGTCGACTCGGAGTGAGAAAAATGTTAATTTCTTAGTAAAGTGATTGGTCGATTCGGAGTGAGAAAATATTAATTTCTTTGTAAAGTGGTTGATCGATTCGGAGTGAGAAAATATTAATTTCTTTGTAAAGTGATTGATCGATTCGGAGTGAGAAAATATTAATTTCTTTGTTAAGTGATTGGTCGACTCGGAGTGAGAAAATATTAATTTCTTTGTAAAGTGATTGGTCGACTCGGAGTGAGAAAATGTTAATTTCTTAGTAAAGTGATTGGTCCATTCTGAGTGAGAAAAATGTTAATTTTTTAGTTAAGTGATTGGTCGACTCGGAGTGAGAAAAATGTTAATTTCTTTGTAAAGTGATTGGTCGACTCGGAGTGAGAAAAATGTTAATTTCTTTGTAAAGTGATTGGTCGATTCGGACTGAGAAAAATGTTAATTTCTTTTTAAAGTGATTGGTCGACTTGGAGTGAGAAAATTGTTGATTTCTTAGTAAAGTGATTGGTCGATTCGGACTGAGAAAAATGTTAATTTCTTAGTAAAGTGATTGCTCGATTCGGACTGAGAAAAATGTTAATTTATTTTTAAAGTGATTGGTCGACTTGGAGTGAGAAAAATGTTAATTTCTTAGTAAAGTGATTGGTCGATTCGGAGTGAGAAAAATGTTGATTTCTTAGTAAAGTGATTGGTCGATTCGGACTGAGAAAAATGTTAATTTCTTAGTAAAGTGATTGGTCGACTCGGAGTGAGAAAATGTTAATTTCTTAGTAAAGTGATTGGTCGATTCGGACTGAGAAAAATGTCAATGTCTTGATAAAGATAAAGTAATTGGTCGATTCGGAGTGAGAAAAATGTTAATTTCTGAGTAAAGTGATTGGTCGATTCGGAGTGAGAAAATGTTAATTTCTTAGTAAAGTGATTGGTCGATTCGGAGTGAGAAAATATTAATTTCTTTGTAAAGTGGTTGATCGATTCGGATTGAGAAAATATTAATTTCTTTGTAAAGTGATTGATCGATTCGGAGTGAGAAAATATTAATTTCTTTGTAAAGTGATTGGTCGACTCGGAGTGAGAAAATGTTAATTTCTTAGTAAAGTGATTGGTCCATTCGGAGTGAGAAAAATGCAAATTTTTTAGTAAAGTGATTGGTCGACTCGGAGTGAGAAAAATGTTAATTTCTTTGTAAAGTGATTGGTCGACTCGGAGTGAGAAAAATGTTAATTTCTTTGTAAAGTGATTGGTCGATTCGGACTGAGAAAAATGTTAATTTCTTTTTAAAGTGATTGGTCGACTTGGAGTGAGAAAAATGTTAATTTCTTTGTAAAGTGATTGATCGATTTAGTACACAGACGATATTTGCTGCTGATCGTTAAGCTATCTCCAATGAATCAAAGCGAAAATTCTGGTTCCATTGATTCAAAGTTTGGAGTGACGATTATTTAAAATACAGAAAAACAATGCACATAAAAAGGAAGAATTATTCATCAAATGTTAAATTATACTTTGTGTTTACAAAAAAAGATGTAGTAAAAATTTTCTTAACTTCATCATTTAAGATTTATTTCATTTATTACGACATTGGACCATGTTTGGTAAGTCATCATTTAACTGTCCTTATTCGTTTGCTTTTATTGAATATTTACAAAAATGCATTTCTGAGCAAAACCAATAGCGATATCTAACCATATGTGTAATACGGGTACTTATTGAATCTATCTGCTCAACACTATTTATGGTCAATCTTATCCCAACATTTTAAATACATATTCATACAATTTTTTTTAACTTACTTTACTACATGTATATCTAAAATTGAGAATGGAAACGGGGAATGCGTCAAAGAGACAACAACCCGACCAAAGAGCAGAACACAGCTTAAGGCCACCAATGAGTCTTCAATTCAGCGAGAAAATCTCGCACCCGGAGGCGGGCTTCAGCTGGCCTCTAAACAATAATGTATACTTGTTCATGTTTTTAAATGAATGTCAAATTATTTTAAAGTTTCAATAAAATTTGCTGCGATTCTGTTTGATTTTTTTTAAACTGGTAACATATATACCTATGATCCCGTGTAAAGCTATGTTCCGTAGTGTGGTACGGTCATCTTAGGTTTCAGATCGCCATAAACATTTAGATTTCAAGTTGAACCATTATCACATATGTATAATATAGATTGAGTCGAAGATGGCCTTTTCAAGAAGAAGCTGTTTAAATGTTCTTGATCTATCAAGAATTCAATTTTAAACTGAGTTCTGCAAATTCCCTGTCTAAGTTTTAATTGATGATCGATCAACAGGACAACACATCTTGGTTGAAGAACACTGAGATTACTATATATGTATTTCAGAAAACCATCATAGGACCATTCATGCTTTTTATCGTAGTCCTATATAACAATTTAATCGGCTGCGTAGTTTTAAAAAGATCTATAAAGTAAAACAATTCCCAGATAAATACAGTGTATGAAGAGTTCCAAGATGAAACTTTCACGTTTTCCCCATAAGGTTATATGTTCCAGGCTCTATTGAGGTCATGCTAAATATCAGATGGTGTTACGCATTTTATAGCTTACTATGCGGTATAGGTTTTGCTTATTGTTAAACGCCATACGGTGACCTATAGTTGTTAACTTCTACGCCTTTTGGTCTCTGGTGGAGAGTTTGTCTCATTGGCAATCATACCACATCTTCTTATTTTAATATACCATAAAATTTTTCGGGTAGTCTGCTTGTTAGGTGGGAAGGGAGGCAACATCAAACAATTTAAATTTTATTTTTGGCCCTGTCGAAACTATTTTTTCTGATTCTTGCAGCAGTATATGAAGATTCGACAGAGTAGACGAAATTCAGAGACCAGAGTGAAAGTGGAGTATGTTGAGGAAGAGTTGGAGGATGAAGATGCCCCATTGATTGGATCAGACAAGACAAATACTCAAGTATACAATATATAGATGGTTAAAATCTGTCACTAACCCCTTTACTGTACAATCAAACCTGTTATAAAGGTCGCCTCTATTAAACAAAAACAAAAAACTTGTCATGTAAGCCTATTCTTGTCATTGCTGTTGAAAAACCTATGCGATCAAAGGTCACCTGTTACAAGGTCAGTTTTCTCGGTCGCGATGATGACCTTTATATATAGTTTGACTGTTATTTGAACTTAAATCGTTGCTATGGACATTCTTGATTTTGTTGAAGGTGTTAGTTAAACACTGAATCTTCTGGTTGAAGAACTTTTAGTGATATAGACGAAGACTGACAAGCTTTAGTCCATGACAGATTGGTTGTGCACTCTATCTCACGAGATTGTCGTCTCATACTCATTTACTGTACATCCCTTAACTTCGAATGAAAAAATGCAGTAAGATCTTCAACAGTGTGCAATTGGAAAATCCGAGCTCTTTATTATGTTGGCCGGTTAAGGCCATTTCGCGTTTTCGCGATCTCGCCTCTTCGCCTTTCATATTCTATAGTGCGAAAACGCGAAAACGCGAAGTCGAAAACACAAAATGGTTTCACTTCTTGATTTTGAGTTTTCGACTTCACGTTTTTGCGATTTTGCGTTTTCGCGTTTTAGCCCTATATAATATGAAAGGTGAAAAGGCGAAATCGCGAAATGGCCTTAACCAGCCACCATACTTTATCATTAAAACACTATTTAGTTGTGATAAAATTAACGGGACTAGATTTCATGCACCAGATGCCCATTTCAACAATTTTAAATGTCTCTTCAGTGATGCCCCAGGCCAAAATATTTGAAATCCAAAACCTAATACAAACGTTGAAGAGCTGATAATATAAATAAAAGAACAACAAATAAAACCAACTAGGACAAGAATTAAATCAGAGATGTGCATGTGGCAGATACATTCCTTAATTCAAAAATAATTTCCTAAACTTTATACAGCAGATATAAATAAAACAATATCCGTATTTTAATGCCAGAAACGAAGCACTGTCTATTATATATATATATATATTAGACGAAATAATAACGAGACAGGCACACACAGTGAATAGATATAGATTCCTGACTGGGACAAACACTTCAGATAGAGTGGTTAAAAAAACACTCTCTTATTTTCTCAATTATTATAAAGCAAGCTTAAAACAATAATCTGAGGAAATTTTGCCTTCTTACACTGTACATTTAAACGGATCTTATATATTATAATTCAAATATCAAAGCGCAAAGGGATAGCAATTTAATTTTGCTCAAAAGTATTTTAGTAGATTACTCTGTATCCTGATAAATTAACAATAAAGATGAATTGATTGGTGTTTGCTTTAAATCCAGTGGCAAATATTTCATACATGTTAAAGACGTGAGCAACTTAACCATAAATACAATAGGTATGTCCTACAATAATGGATCAACCTGGATGATGGGCAGACAATTTGGAATATTACAAAATAGAGTTTTTGATTACCACCCTAACCTTGGACTTTTTTCAACTAATTTGTATTCCTAAATATATTTTATTTTATAATATAATTCTTGAATTTGTTTGCTTTGTTCATAAAATTATTATCAGGTTTATCACATGATAATGCTAAATTGCTCTCTTTATCGAAATCTAAAATTTGCTTGTAAAAATTTGAAACTAGTTTAAATTTCAGAAAAATGTAACATGTAATTTAAGATAACAGGGATTCTTTTGTATGTAAGCGAGGCGAAAGACACCAAAGGGATATTAAAAAAAAGTAGAAAAAAACCGCCATTGCCAAGGGAAAAAAACGAAAAACGACAGAAAACAAACAACACAGTATAAAACAAAACATAATATAGGACACAACAGACTTCCGAACCCCAACAAAAACTGGGAATAATTATATTCTATTTTTCAGGATGAAGATTTAAACAAGCTTTTGAATGTATCGGCTGCTTACTTTGAGAATTTTTTATCTGGAAAGTTTAACCAACTTAGTGCCACAAGACATACTAGTAGAGCAATTTGTTTGTGTCAATTTTTAGAGCAAGTGAATGAGACTTATAGAATACAAGATGAACATGATACCATTATTGAAGTTTTAAAAAAAGAACATATTTCAAATTTTGTACATAATAAACTTCTGTTGGAAAATTCTGAAATGTTCAATAAATACACACAATATATTCTTCAAAATTTTGTTATCATTTTGTGCTGTAGCACGGAACATTACTGTCTCGGTATAAACCAGGCCGTTAGTTTTCTTGTATGAATTGTTTTGTATTATCATCATTTCATATATACGTTTTACATGACCCAGGCATGTTATTTGTCTGTAGGTATGGATTGCCTCTTTTGGTCTTTTGTTTAACGTTTAACTAACGCAAGTAAAAATTATCTCTAAACTGAAACACTTTGAAAGGATGTTAACTTTTTGCGCCTGTCCCAAGTCAGGAGCCTCTGGCCTTTGTTAGTCTTGTATCATTTTTAATTTTAGTTTCTTGTGTATAATTTGGAGTTTAGATGACGTCCATCATCACTCAAACTAGTATACATATTTGTTAAGGGGTCAGCTGAAGGACGCCTCCGGGTGCGGGACCTTCTCGCTGCATTGAAGACCCATTGGTGGCCTTCGGCTGTTGTCTGCTCTATGGTCGGGTTGTTGTCTCTTTGACACATTCCCCATTTCCATTCTCAATTTTAACTGTTCTTTTAATTTTTTAAATCTCTACTGCCTGATATTTTTAATTTGTTCTGCAGATTTCATTATACTTGTATAGTCCTTTTTGAATGCCGAATCACGTAAATTGACGAATGGCAAACTGAGGGTCAATGATTTTGATTCTTGATATTCCATCATGCATCTCGAGTCTCGTTCCTATTGCGATTTTGATTTTACTTCTGTCGGTGTCACATCTTTGCACGTTCGAATTTCACGAACAGGACTGTAATGTTTATTGATCGTTATGGTACAAATAAGAAGAATCTTCTTGTAGCAATATTTATTTCACGCTTGGGAAACCGTTGTGTAGATTAAGACGTTTGGCGGGATAGTTAGTGGTCGGGTGGAAGGTTATGGTGGAAATTCGTAATGGATACTCTATATTCAGTAAGGAGAAATTTAGGAAACACCCCTATCCAGGAAATAATGTATTCCACCACAGGTTTAAAAGCGGATGAGAAATATCATTCGAGGCTGTCAATGCTCTTAGAAATCAATGCTCTTAGAAAGAAGAAGACAAGTGATCAACAGAGGTACGTGACGCAAGAGCTATAATATTGTGAGGACACTTTGTACTGGGTACAAATTGAACGTACAAGTTGATCTGATATAGCAAGTTGACAGAGTAGACTGTCCCACTAGGAGGGCAGACTGTAACAGTCCGCACTGTCTTATAGTGACAGACAGTCCAATCCGGAGAACAGGCTTTCAGATTGTTCATTTTTTCACTGCGACAACGCCATTCAGTACCTCGGACATGTTAGGTTACTTACGACGACTGACACATTTGAAATGATGAAAACGATAGTTACTATTTTAATGGATTTGAAGTTGATTTAAGGCATACTTAACTTTTTTTCTAAAATGATCTCTTCCTGTCTATGAATGCTTAAGACCATTCTCAGTCACTCGCGATGACCGAAAAATCTTCCATGATGAACGCGCTATGATGCTAAATTCCTATTACTTCAAATCTTTCATAATCTTTTCATGAAACTCCTTTGATTTTGTACTTGTTAACAGTTTTTGAGTACATAAGACCAGTTAACAAATTAATAGACCACAGAAAAAAACTGTTTAAGGATGTTCGCTACTCTGTTTCAAAATAATAAGATTTTTAAAACACTGTAAATTGAAACTATATTAATAAAGGAACTAAAAAAGCAGAAAAAAATGAAGGGTCCGTGAGCTTGTTTTCAAGATATAAGCCTTTGAAAATTTGGCTCGAAGTGATTCTCTCTAGATTTTTCATACATTTAACATTGGCACCTTTTTACCTTCAAAATCTATGAAAAAATAACATGGATTTTATAAGATTTTCAAATATGGCTTTTTAAACTATATGTAATAAAAATATGAAAAGAAAAGTAAGGGTTTGTGGGCAAAATCTTTTAATGGCACTACATGGATAAAACCAGAGGATTTCGAATATCTTGCAAAAATTCAAAAACAACAGGAGCGAACATCCTTAATTCTATAATACATTTATATACACACACCTGGTTTTCAATTATTTAGGTTTGAGCGTTCCTGATAAAGGTAAATCCAGAAAAGCGCTTCGGACACATGAACGTTGTAAAGTGTTTATTTCATTTGTAATTGTTCGGTACTACTAATTAACATTAATCGGGAATCATATGGTTGTACCATATATTTTAAGATTTTAAGATTTTTCTTTGTTTAATCAATATGGTGCTGTACCTCGGCTTTGATTGCTGGTATGTTGTATTTATATATCAGAGATAAGAGAACATAGCAGGTTTGATCACACATAATCATACACAAACATGTTAGAGGAAAGAGAACATAACAGGTTTGAACATATATTATCATACACATACATGTCAGAGGAAAGAGAACATAACAGGGTTGACCATATATTATCATACACATACATGTCAGAGGAAAGAGAACATAACAGGGTTGAACATATATTATCACACACATACATGTCAGAGGAAAGAGAACATAACAGGTTTGAACATATATTATCACACACATACATGTCAGAGGAAAGAGAACATAACAGGTTTGAACATATGTTATACACATACATGTCAGAGGAAAGGGAACATAACAGGTTTGAACATATATTATCATACACATACATGTCAGAGGAAAGAGAACATAACAGGTTTTAGCATATATTATCATACACATACATGTCAGAGGAAAGAGAACATAACAGGTTTGAACATATATTATCATACACATACATGTCAGAGGAAAAAGAACATAACAGGTTTGAACATATATATCATACACATACATGTCAGAGGAAAGAGAACATAACAGGTTTGAACATATATTATCATACACATACATATCAGAGGAAAGAGATCATAACAGATTTGAACATATATTATCATACACATACATGTCAGAGGAAAGAGAACATAACAGGTTTGAACATATATTATCATACGAGGAAAGAGAACATAACAGGTTTGAACATATATAATCATACACATACATGTCAGAGGAAAGAGAACATAACAGGTTTGAACATATATTATCATACACAAACATGTCAGAGGAAAGAAAACACAATTAAACACTCACAGAATCATACACATACATGTACGAGAAATAAGAATATAACAGTTTGAAAACACAGAATCATCAAAATATAGATCAGACAAAAGCGAACATAGCAGGTTTGATCACACATAATCATACACATACATGTCAAAGGAAAGAGAAAATAACAGGTTTGAACCCATATAATCGTACACATACATCAGAGAAAACAGAATATAACAGTTTGAAAACACACAATCATCAAAATACAGATCAAACAAAAGAGAACATAATAGGTTTGAACGCATAGTATCGTCCACATACACGTCAGAAGAACGAGAACATATTAACGTGTTTGACCACACAGAATCATATACAAAAACGTCAACGGAAAGAAACCATAACATGTTTAAACGCACGCTTTTTGGATACAAGAGGAAAACCAGAGTAGAATACACAGAATCCACATACACATCAGAGTAAAAAGAAAACAGAATCATCCATATAAATGTCAGAGGAAAGAGAAAACACATGTTTAAACACACAGAATCATCCACGTAAACATAAGAGGAAAGACAACATAACAGGTTTACATACATCAAGGAATTGTATATTCAAATATTTGAATATACAATTCCTTGCATACATAAAGCATCTGCAAACATCAGAGGAAAGATAATATAACAGAGTTGAATACACAGACTCCTCCACATCCACGTAAGACGACAGAGAATATAACAGATTTGGACATACATTACTTCAAATTTACACGTCAGAAAAAAATAGGGTTTACACACATAGAATCATATATTTACATGTTAAAGGGAAGATAACATTACAGGTTTGTAAACACATAGTCATCTACATACAAATCAGAGTAAATAGAACATAACAGAAATGAATATACATAATAAGTAAGAAGAAAGAGACCATATCAGATTGGTATACACAGTATCATCCTCTTACACACCAGAAAATAACAGGTTTGAACACACATAATCATGAAACTTCGAAATGGAAAAATACTTAATACTAAACTCGTTCAAAGGGTATCTACAAGTCTCAATCTTCAAAATCGATTATCTAAACATACTACAATCGCTAACATTTTTAATAACAAAAATCGTGGTTACGCTTCTATCTATAAGTGTCATGCCAAAAAATTACTTACATGTCCCCGTCTTTCCACCAACGATACGATAATGTCCACGTTTAACGGTCGTACGTTTTCCCTAAATTTTGAAACTGATATCACTTGAAAAACTTACAGTATCATATATTTACTCACTTGAAACAAACCGGGATGCGGTATTCAGTACGTAGGTGAAACTGGACGATATTTATCAAAACGCACGCAAGAACACCTTTATCGTTTTAAAAGACCCCATAAATTCAAAAGTATCATTTATCAGCACCTTAAGAAGCACAATCATCCTTTTAAATATTTAACAGTTCAACCTTTAGAAGAAGTTAATAAGCAGCCTGGGGAATCTCATTCAAAATTTGTACGATCACGAAAAATAATTGAATTAAATTAGATAAAATAATTACAGACAGTCTATCCTCTCGGTCTTAACAACAACATCATGGGAATTGGTAATATATCTAGAACAGATTCTGTTAGCATTGTGGATATAGTTTTTAAAACAGTACGTAAAAACCGTTCTCATTTCTATTTCAAAAAACAACGGTAGACACTATCTATTAACCAAGCTCTGTTCTTTGCCTGTTAATAGATAACATCAAATTTTGGAGGAATGCAACCCAATTCCATATTGCAGACCTAATTATGAAATCGTCCAAATTATAATTGCATATTGTTATTCTAAATTGTTTCCCAAAATTGATCGCCCTGATGATCACAAAAAACATTTTATTAAAATTAAATATGTCAATAAAGGTTTTGATTTTGTAAATATTGCCGGTATTTTTAATGATCATTCTGTTAAAGAACAAATTCCTGGCTATTTTGATAATACTGAACTCCCTCTTATTTGTTATGTTTACAAACAATCTACCCGGAAATATGTGTTTAATTACAGCGAAGTGTGTAAAGATGTTAATATCAGTGACAATACACCTACCTCATGAAATTGCAGTAAATCCGAATACATTTATGGCCCCAGTTCCCATGTTATAACAGGAGACCTTAACATCGTTCGTGACCGAGAGTTGAAATCATTCCTCAGTAAAGGACCTAAATATCGTCCCCCGTCAATTATTAATTGGAATGAGTGTCGTAACATCATCCACGACTCACTCCGTACTTACTGCTCTAAATGGATAAAACGAGAAAAATCTGACAAGAAATCATTAGATTCTTTTTAACATTCGGTAATGAACATAGTTAATATACGTATTCAACATTTTAAAGATCATTTTACTCCTAACAACTATCATAATAGCCCAATTTCCCGTATCAAGCATAAGCTAAAAGAACTCGCAAAGGAATATATTTTTGTCCCGGCTGATAAGACTGCTAACAATATCATTATTGTTTGACGTAAAGTTTACATTCATTTGATGTTCTACAAAAGGAAATCACAAATTCACCAACATTCCAACTGATTCCATTTTCGGGAAATGACATCTGTAACAAACATAAACTTTTAGCTACCTCTTTACAAGCAGAACCAAATACAATGAAAGTTCAAACTATGTACTGGCTTCCGAAGCTGCATAAAACGCCTTATAAATATAGAATTATTTCGTCTTCAAGCCATTGTTCCACTACTAAACTATCTATTCTACTTACAAGTACACTTATTACAATCAAACACCTGGTAATAAATTGTTCAAATAAGGCCTTTGAAAATAGTGGAATTAATTACTTTTGGAGTGTCAAAAATTCGTTGGAAGTACTTGATAAATTACATGCTTATATTGGTGATTTCGAATCTGTTCAAAGGTTTGATTTTTCTACCCTATATACCACGTTGCCTCATAATCTTATTAAGAAAAAATTCACACACCTGATTAAATAGGCATTTAAAAAGTCGGAATGCGAATATATATGTTCGAACTCTTTTAAGTCATTTTTAGCAACAACAAACTAATGAACTATGTCAATTTGACCTGCTTTGATACTATAACTGCCCTTGAATTTTTAGTAGGTAACATTTTTGTTCGCTATGGAGATTCCGTATATCGTCAGGTTATCGGAATTTCCATGGGGACTAACTGTGTACCACTTATTGCGGACCTGTTTCTGTATTGTTATGAGTTACAATTTATGACTAAAGACCAATCGAAACAACATCTGATTCAAAAAATAAATAACACTTTTAGATATTTAGATGATATATTGGCTCCCAATAATGACGACCTCAGTATGTACACTAAAGAGATTTATCCTGCCGAACTGACTTTAAATAAAGCTAAAACTAACAATGAACACTGCCCTTTTCTGGATCTTGATATCGTTATCTTTAACGGGAAACTTAATAACAAAATTTATGATAAAAGAGATGATTTTTCATTTCCTATTGTTAATTATCCATTTTTAGTTGGTGACGTTCCCTTGTCGCCATCTTATGGTGTTTATATATCTCAACTTGTTCGATTCGGTCGTGTATGTAACAAGGTATTTGATTTCAACGAAAGAAATCTCTGTATTACTGAAAAATTAGTACACCAGGCTTTTCGATATCACAAACTAGTCAAAACATTTACTAAATTTTATCATCGGTACAAGGACATCATTCGTAAATATAAATCAACATGCAGACATCTTATACGTTCAGGTATTTCACATCCAATATTTTATGGTAATATTCTTTACAAAGCACAAAAATGTCGGCATTCACATCAAAATCTAACCAAACCTTTAAACAGACTTATTCGGAAAGGATATAGTTACGATACTGTTGTCAAGTCATTAAGGATTGCATATTTTGGTATTAATATTGATTCACTCATAGGGTCTTTGTATCTGAAATAAACACATTTATTCTAAAACCAGTTGTTGGCATGATACGGGTTATGTTCTTCTCATGTATTTTATGATGGTATGATACTAAACCCCTAACGGGAGGGATTGTACTTGATTTTCATATGATGAAGACACAACCTTTCAATCAGTTTAATTGAGGTTTGGAGCTGGCATGGCAGTAACTGCTAGTAGTCCTTTTGTTCATTTATGTATCATTTACTGTGCGTATTGCTATGTATTTCTTTTTTCTACATTGACTAGAGGTATAGGGGGAGGGTTGAGATCTTACAAAACATGTTTAACCCCGCCGCATTTTTGCGCCTGTCCCAAGTCGTGAGCCTCTGGCCTTTGTTAGTCTTGGATGTTTTTTAATTTCAGTTCATTTATATGTTTTGGAGTTTAGTGTGACGTCCATTTTCACTGAACTAGCACACTATTTTATTTAGGGACCAGCTGAGGACCACCTCCGGGTGCGGAATTTTCTTGCTGCATTGAAGACCCATTGGTAGCCTTCTGCTCTTTGGTCGGGTTGTTGTCTCTTTGACATATTCCCCATTTCCATTCTCAATTTTAGACTTGTTAGAGGGAAACAACCATATCGGAACACACAGTATCACCCACTCACAGGTAAGAGGAACGAGATCATAATAGTATTGAACACACAGAATCATCCACTCACAGGTAAGATGAACGAGATCATAATAGTATTGAACACACAGAATCATCCACAAACCTTTTAGTAGAAAGAGAAGATAACAGGTTTTTAACACTAATAATCATCAACAAACTTGTTAGAGGAAAACGAAATGCACAATACTATCCATTTACACGTTAGAGGAAATAGAACATACATGTACCAGATTGGAACCCACAGTATCATTCACTTAATAATCAAAGGAAAAAGAACATAACAGATTTGAAAACACAGAAAATTTCTTCTACAAATACGATAGAGGAAAGAGAACATACCATATCTGAAGTATCATCCACTTACACTTCAGATGAAATAGAACATAATAGTATGGAACACACTGAATTATCCACCTGCACGTAAGAGGAAAGTAAACATACACGATTGTAACCCACAGTATCATTCACTTATATGTCAGAGGAAATTAAGAAAGCATAACAGTATATATAAAAATAAGAATATATGGTATGATTGTCAATGAGACCAAATGACATAGAACAGGTTTGAATACACAGTATCACCCACTAATACACGCCATCCTATTATCTTTCATCAAAAATATCAATTGAAAATTAGCAATTCAAAAACGGATATAATGTATCAATTAAATTAAAGATAGATAGTCACAAAACAACAAATTTTTTGTAGGTGCAAATACTTTTGGACCATGAAGATGCATATCAATATATTCCGTTGAATAAAATCAAGGTTAAGATAAGCGATCTGTAAAAAGCAGCAATTTTCATCTCTGGTCGCACAAACAGTATTTTGAAAAAAACAAATGATGAAAATGGTTAACAACCTTATCGTGAAGGGAAATACCGTTACACCTTTTTCATTCATGCGTGAGGCCACGAGTTTGTTCTGAAAATAAAAAAAAAAAACAAAACAAAACATGATATATCTCGCTTCAGATTCTATTATTTTTATATTCTAATACTAAATGTTGATATAATAACATATTTCACGCATATGCACATGCGATGCATTAAATCTGAATAATGAATAGAAAGCAAGTAATCAGTACATAAGTTTTATTTAGTTAATCATAAAAAAGACAATGTAATACTATATATAAGTGAGATTCAATATCAAGTTTAAGGTTTACACTTCAATAATGTGATGTTGTGTATTCGGTTCCTTACATGATTTGTTTATTTCCTCCAAAAACTGACATAAACAGATTGCCCTACGTGAATGTCTGATATTCCTGGGATGATTTAATTTTCCAGACAAAAACTTGTCAAAGTAGCTTACAGACATATCCAAAATCTTGTCCAAAGCTTCTTCCTGTAAGCAAAAATAAAAGATGACGAAGTAAAATAATAATTCAATCAGTCTGCCGTTGATTTCGATCATATTTTAATACCTTATAAAAATCACAAACTAGGCTACTGCCGAAGCTACGTTCTTTCTAAATTCTTTCTTTACCATTCAAAGTTCATCATTCTGTCATTTGTAGAAAATAAAGTTGAAAATCAAAATCCAGATTGATTTCAACGTTAGGATGCCTTATTTTACAAAAAATGACAAAGTTCAACAACTTGTTATTTGTGGAAAATTAAAAATTAATACATATATATGTTATAACACCTAAAAATAAAAAAACTCTAGCTTATAAACTGATGGAGGGGTAAACCATGTACCCTATGTGGGACAGACGGACGGACGAACAGCGGCGAAACAATATGACATTTCGAAGCCATAGAAATCCGCCTATATAATTTGAACAGTTGTACTATTTTAGTTAAGAGAGAAAAATATAAACATGGTAGCATACACATATTGGACAAACAATTCCAATTTCTTGGAAAGGCATCTAAATAATATAGGTTATGAGATTAAGTTATATATAATTTACCTCAATATCAATAGCCCTGGTGTTCACGCCAATCAACGAAGTTCTTTCATTTACTTCATTGGTGTCATCTTCATCAACAATTTTAACTCTGGTCTCATCTGCATGGTGTCTTACGTGGTATTCTTTGATGTATTCCTGTAAAATGTTTAACTTAAAGGTGACGATGTTTTATTTTTCGAGGTAGTTTACTTTTGGCATAGAACAAAAATCAGATATTTTTTTCACAAACAGCCCAAACCCTTTCATTACGTTAACTGCTTGCTCAAGTAGAAATGTAAAAATTACACATTTGGAAGATATGTTCATCGTATCACGCATTTATTCGCCTGATTCATATCTTTCTAAGAATTCGTTAAGTCTTATTCATTTACTAAAAACAATATGTGTATGTCTTTTAATCCTTATCATGCGAGGCGGTAATATTACTGCCTCTACCCAAAATACCGTTTTTTGGCTCCAATGGCTCTCCACACTTATAGAAGTCAACTGTATGACAATAATTTCGAAGTTGATGCATGTTTCCTCAACCTAAGGCTATTTATTGTCATGTTTCTTAGGTTTAAGGTGCATTTTGAGCTCAAATACGAATATGAGAATTGAAATCGGAAAAGGGGTGGGCTTCCCTTCGATGTCTGACACACGCAGTTCAGAGGCCTTAAACTTCAAATATAGTTGAAACCCGCAGGCATAAAACTACTGATCGTGTTTATTATTGAATTACACTGAGGGAACGACTATTTCCGATTGCAGTTCCAGTTGAAGTATAAAATCGGGAAATTCCGGATTTTTTGTGCAAATGACTTCCTTTGGACTGCTGTACCCTGTTAAGTTTAACTTCGACTTAAACACTGTTGTGGTTAATGTGTTTATTGGGGCCCAATCTACATGCAGACTACAGTGGGATACATCTATCAGCATCCCTCGGTCTTCCAGGTCAAGAAATAGAACGATAATCGTCAAAATTGACGCTTTTTGCACCTGACGACCAACTTTGGGGCAGATTACCGCCCATCCACCAACTCCTCCTCACTCCCAACCACCCCGTCCCGTGATCCACTATCTAAGTTTTATTGGAATTAATATGCATCAGCAGCAGGATATAGCTCATTTTCAAATAATTTGCATATTTTTGCAAATCAAAAAAAATTAGACATTTTCCGAAATCAATCCAGCATGGTAAGAGTTAATATATTTTGTTTAGCTCAACAGATAATAAGTACAATTGATCGCTTATTGTTATTATTTGTTTATTTGGCTAATAATCTAATTGGTCGATGTTGTGGAAATCGTGTTAATCAGTCTTTATTGTTTTATGTAGTGTTTTGTAGACACCTGTTTGTCTTTTTTGTCATTTTTCGTTCTTTTGCCATGATTTTGTTGGTCTCTCTTCGACTTATAAACTTTGGTTATATCTAAGTATTTTACGCCTTTGCAATGAGTTTCTGATATGCTTTAGATCGAGAATCACACTACTCTATTTGAAGATTTACCATCGTCAAATGCAGTTGTATTAACTGCGCGAACTCCGATGTCATTCGTGTAATTGATGGCAGACGCTATCCAATGAAAAGTGGCGTTAAATATCAAATTGCATTATAATTTCAATTTTTTTTATCAGATTAATTTAACATCTATTTCTCGGCTTACCTGCCATAACGGCGAAAACTTACCATACATTGACGACAGTCGTAATAAATAAAATATATCTTTTTACTGTTAAGTTGAAATTCTTAAAACAAATGTAAACAGGACTTTAAGCGCTATTCATCTCAAATGGAATCGTTATTCTTTAATTTTCGAACCTTATGATGTACATGTCATGCGACTTTTAAATACAACAAACAATGACAGAACTTTTTAAAAGATTAATGTATACAGAGGAAGAAAACGTTTAAATCGTTCAAAATCTAGTTAAAGTACATACCTTTTATGAAATGTGGAGGCTTAGACTTGTGACCAGCATCAAAACATTAATATGAATAAACCAAAGTTGTTTTTGTTTTTTTTTTAATAAAAAAATCACAATGCGCTAGGCAAAATTGTCATAGATACCTTAAATATCCATTCTAAGCTTTTTGTTTGATCGACATTAGTCATTTTTGGACCCTTTATAGCTTGCTGTTCAGTATGAGCCAAGGCTACGTGTTGAAGACCGTACTTTAACCTATAATTGTTAACTTACTTTTTATACATTGTGACTTGGATGGAGAGTTGTCTCTTTGGCATTCATACGACATCTTCTTATTTATATATAACTATAAATGTAGGAAAAAAGAACAGAACTTATAAACAAAACACTGGTTATTCATTTGTGCGATCATTGGGTTTTTCTTAAGGCTATGTGTTCTCTTAAACATGTCTTATTTATTTCAATGAAGGATACGGTGACTTTCGCTGTCATTCTAGCTATTTTGTACATCATGAATATATTAGATGACACTAAAACTCTGTTTACCCCAGCTAAATGTAATTTCATTTCAGCTTCTCCCTGAAAGAGAAATGGTTTCATCTGATGTAAAGAGTAGCAATAGTCAACAAATAAATCATTGTAATGATAATTATTACAATTTGTGGTATTTGTGGAACAGGAAATCCTTTCCTTCAAGGAGCATCCGAAATACCCTCTGACTTTTGTGGGGTACTTTTGCTCAAAATAGTTCATTTGTAAGGTTTTCAGTATACATGTTTGTCTCTTCGTCTCTCTTTCTTTTTTGTCTTGGTGTTGTTCGGCCTCCTTCGAATTTCATTATATATTTTTGACCGCTCTCAGTTTTTCGTCCGAGTTTTCCAAATGTTCAGGTTGATTATTTTCCGTCCACCTGTTTATTTATGCGGACTACAAACACTTATACACAAAAACGCCAGCTTTGAGCTTATTCCTTCATAGAAAATGTACCCTTCATAGATAACACATTGTAAATCGTTAAGAGAGAAAAAAATACAATTTAAGATAATAAATTATCGTAGAAATATAGCCGAAACCTACTGTTCTCATCTAATTCGTTCTACAAAAACTCTTCTGGACCAAACCAGAATGGATTAAAGACAAAAACCAAGATTTTTGTTAATGGTACCGAAGAATGGCAAAATTGTGTAAATCAGTGTCATGTTTATCACAGTTTCTTGACATCTTCACCTTTCTAGGTAATTTGGTCTGGTCTATTTTGAGCTATAAGTACCCCCCAAACTGTTTTGATATATTAGAACCACTTATATAAGACAGTTGTTTTCCATTCGTTTGATGTGTTTGAGCTTTTGATTTTGCCATTTGATGAGGGACTTTCCGTTTTGAATTTTCATTGTAGTATTTTTGTTGTTTTACTTTATACAGACAAAACCACACGCCTGGTATTTTTTTCTCTCTTGACGATTTACAAACTATATCTTTACATTTGTATATATGTTTATGTGTTTGCTACATATGTGCTCCTTTTGGATAATATATGTTATGGTTATAGTCCTTCTATCGGATTTTTTTTTACTAATAAAAGGATTTATTATTAAATTAATTTCATTTGATTTGATTATCAACCCAATTGAAAATTCCTAGTTGAAATTTTCTTGCTGGGATAGAAGAGATTTCCACTTGAAATTTTTATTTCGCATATTGATAGACTTGACAAAAAACTCATTTAAACTGTTTTTTTTTTTTTAATATCAAACACATATAGATAAGTTGAAATACCTTTCGTTTTGAAGCGTAACAATAGCACGGCCAGGCGATTCCGAATGTTCCAGACGTCAACGCAAATGAGAGACCAGCAAACAAAAACGGATTATCACCGTCAAAGGGTGCAAACACATAGACTACAAGCATTGCCAGTCCTACGAGTAACACATTAATAATAAAGTAGTATGCCATCACACAACTTAGGCGAATAGGATTTATGAACACACGCTGTTTAACCAGTCGAGTGGACGATACTTTAGCAACATGCTCGGTCAAAACTTCTGGATTAAACTATAAATACATATAAATAAATAGATAATATAATGAAAATAATAAATTCTGTGCTATTCATATATCTGATCAAGACAATGAAATCAGAATTAAGTTGAACAAAAATTGTAATACAAATATCTCAAGACTAATTCAAATTAAGCAAATGACAAATGGAAAAAATCAAAAGCTCAAACACATCAGACGAATGGGAAACAACTGTCATATTCCTGACATGGTACAGGCATTTCCGTATTTAGAAAATGATGGATTAAACCTGGTTTTATAACTAGTTAAACCTCTCACTTTTATGACAGTCGCATATAATTTAATTATAGGGACAGCAATGTTTGATCAAAACAAACAGACATAGGTAAAAATTTCAAACATTGGGATACAGCAGTCAACATTGTGTTATAGTCTTAATCAGTAAAACAAATAACTATTTCAACAAGTAGTAAATGTAATTTCGATTTAATGATCCATCTAGCAAACAATTAAACATAACACTTTTGTTCTTGAACATGCTCAAATATATTTGTGTAAAATTTCAATTTATAATGTACAGAGTATGAATGCTACCATTTAATAGAGAAACCGATATGGACCGGTCAACTAGGACAGCAGGAGACTATAACCTAATACTATACGTTTATCGCTCACTTCATGTTATCAGTTCACCTGTATTTGTATAGTAGAAAGGTCGATAGCAGGATAAAGACCGTTAGAAATAACATTGTGTTGATCTGTTCTACTGACCCTATCACGACTACCACTGTCAGGGGCGAGTACGGTGTAGATTCTGAATCGATGATTAGCATGCATATGCTATGGTAAACACCTCTTTATGTGTAAAACATAAAGAAAAGATTTATTTCAAAATAGCATATTATTCTGTCTAATAAGGTAACCGCAGTAGATTACGTTTTCATTTTGATTACCATCTACCCCAGTTATGCTAACGAAAATGAGATACGTTTTTGATATCATGCAAATATAATTCTAAACAGAATATTACATCTATTCCACTTCTTCTGAGATAGTCAGGGATATATCGGGTTTGGAATGCTTCTCCACAACACGAACTTGTACTGGTTTCTTCGAAAATTGTATCGAAATTTTCGTATTCTGAAAGAAAAAAAAATTACTTTGAATATATTTAATCTACATATTACAGCTCCTTTTAACATGAAGAACAGACTCTGATGTTAACAAAGATGAAAGAAAGTATTGCAATAGATGATATGATGTTTTCACTAGTGATAGGGACTACGTTTACAACTTATATGCACAATTTAGGTATCATATCGTTTCTGGTTTGTATTTGGCTATACTGTAGCCGTTTTCTAAACATGAATCCACACGCAATTGTTGGTTCCCTTTGAACAAATGTCATATCTTTTTTATTACTCATCAATGTGCCAGATAACATTTGCCTTAATGCAAATAGTTTGCATTCGAATAACGCACTACACATCAGCTTAAACTAGTAGTGTGCTGAAATCTAGTATAGCAGAATCATGACCGAGTTAATAAAAAAACTCTAAAGGGGTTCGGTGGAACCCTGTGTCTCGCCTGTGTAAAAGTGTAATATTGATATAAAAAGGAGTCCATTTATCAGAATAATACAGAATTTAAAAACACAAATCCAAACTTTTTCTTTAGATTCTTTTTCTTTGTCTTGAAGATTAGCTTCAGTCCAAGTTTAATAACAATCCATTAAGGTTTCCAAATTTATCATGTCAAAAAAAAAAAATATAATTCCAGACCGTATGTAAATGTTAACTGTAAAAGTCAATTTATCAGTGACAAGTGGAGAAATGAAATTAAATATTTTCAAAAATTTGCTTTGGATTCTGTGTTATGATCAGAAACAAGCTTCTATCCAAATTTCATAAAATTCAATGTAGGTTTGACAAAGTTATTGATGTGTAAAAAAACATTAACCTCAGAATAAATCTGAATGTTAACTGTAAAAAAACTTAGTCCATTTATCAGTAAAATATGGAAAAATTAAAATAAAAATTTTCAAAATTTTGCTCTGGATACTATATTATGGTCATAAACAAGCTTCTGTCAAAATTTCTTAAATTCCATGAAGGTTTGACAAAGTTATTGATGACTAAAAAACTTTAACCTCAGACTAAATCTGAATGATAACTGTAAAAAAACTTAGTCAATTTATCAGTAAAATACGGAAAAATGAAAATTAATATTTTCAAAATTTTGCTCTGGATACTGTAATTTTGTCATAAACAAGCTTCTGTCTAAATTTCATGAAATATCATGTAGGTTTGACAAAGTAATTGATGTCTAAAAAATCTTTAACAGACTGAACCTAAATGTTGACGCCGCCGACGACGGAATCTAGGATCGCTATGTCTCGCTTTCGCGAAATCAATTTCGCAGGCTCGACATAAAGAACTTTCGAAAAACTTTAACTGAGAATTTTGAAGTTCCACTCTGTTCTTGGAAACAATATTCTTTATAGCAGCACGATATAAATTACATTTCGGAAAGTACCAAAATTTGATCATTTTATATGTTTACTTCTGTGCTACCTTAAATCTGTGGTTTATTAATTTCTACGTTTTTTTGGAGAAAACTCTAATATCGGTTTAAAATTATTGATTGATTGATTAAATTTTTGACTTTATCGCCACTTTTCGGCACCCTTGGCTATATAATGGCGGCAAATTTTAATAAGTGGAGGAATCCATAGTACCGGAGTGACCACAGATTCTCGATAGGAAAACTGTGAATTTT